CACATGTATTACAAACATACACACACACATGTATTTGCCTCAACCCAACTGATGAACTCACCCAATTCACATTCACGTTGCCAGTAAATCTGACATATACACCACCACAACACAATTCAAATTACATCAATCAACAGACACACCATTACAGGAAGTGAGAAAGACAACTAAGAACAAGAGAATGACCCCCCCGCCTACTCCTTCCTCATTCCATAGAAAGCAGAAATTAAGAGAAGAAGAAACAAGCAGGAAAAAAAGAGCTGGAATTTTAGCGAAGAGAGCAAGAAACAAACATGGATGTAAGAGGCAGTCATTTGAGCAGTATGCTACATAAAATAGCCTCTATCTAAATTTGGATGATCTACTGAAAAGCCATGATGCACCACAGGCTGAATCAGTTTGAGCACCATGTCACAAAAATGGAACAAGGGTAATATAATATGTATGACACCGCCGACTAGGTCCTACTGTCAAACCCTCGGATCCGCTGGAAAATAATCAAGTAAAAGAGCAGGAAAAGCGCAGTCGGAAGCAAGAAAATGTGGCTGTTTGCTAAACAGATGAACAAAACAGGCCAACTGGGGAGGACTTGGAAAGCGTCCCTCCGATTCAGTTTCCACACATTTTCTGACACTCTCCACACGGAGCGAGGCAGTTTCACTACAACGCCTTGGCGTCTGGACAAGACCTAACTGACTGCAAAACAGAGCTAAGACAGAGTATAATCAATCACACAGTCTGGGGAAGTTTGGCTGCCAGTGCTCATTCACTCTGAAGCCAGGCTGTTTGCGGTGAGAGACGGGGACCAGGTTTGTGCTGCTGGGTTTTTTAGGGACACGCTGAAAGCACTGAAAAGCGGAAGACATTCAAACCAATGCTGTGAATCACACTGAATGGAATATCAACTTTGTAAAGTTAAATATTTGTTGTTTTTGCCTGGCAAGAGACATAAAAGAAGTACAATCTATATTAAAGATGCAAATTTTGGCAAATTCCTTTGACAACAGACCGTTATTAAACCGAAATAAATAAATAAATAAATAAATAAATAAAATCACAGACCCAACCCATGAAAACATCAGACACAGCACTGCGCTTCATACACGCAGGTCTTTGGGCTTTTTTGAATGAAAAAACATAGTGTAACGAATATGACAGTAACGAAATGTCGTCTAGTTACTTACCTTTATAACACATTAGTTAACAAACAAATATGCGTACAATTAAAAAACTGTCCTCAAGTTGAAACAACCACCTATTCGAATATCAACTGTTTATCTGAATTTAAATTTACATTTTAACCAAAAGCATTGGTCAAACATTTATGTGTTTTTTGGCTACTGATTAATCAGTTAATCATTAATACTGCAGTACTGCGACTACATTGTTACATCTTGTGATTGCGACATGTTACACAATCAAAAGGTGTAACGATTTCCATACTTTCAAAAAAAGTGCTGTTTTGTGGAAACCACTGTCAGTGATCAAAACTAGGCACCAGAGTAATGCCGGTGGGCTGGGGAAGGGGCTTATACTACGCATGCCTCCAAAGTCAAATTACTTTTTTTTTTCAACTAAAGATGCCAACAAATGCATTGTAATTTTTGGGGCTTATTATGTCAGAGGGCAGCGACATCCAATCTGAGCCATACCATTCTGTGTAGTATATAATTAAAGCTCCACAGAATCAAGACAATAGGCATAGCATGATACTATTGGTATAGGAAAAGTACTAACAACATTCATCAACCAGCATTAATGGACCAAAACTATTATGTCTCCTGTATCCACGCTAATACCTTTTTCAATAAAACACCCATAGAAACTGAAGCGCCTGAGGCTTTTCAATATGCTCACAGCACATAATGAAAATTGTTGAGTTGCATTGGCATGAAACTGCCTCTTTACAATGAACACACATTATATTAACCTAAAATCCATCCCTGAGTTAATATATAATGCAAAACAATTTTAAGTGGTAATATGGCTTATTCAAGGTTTATGGTTTGGTTCACTGATCTAAGATTTCAGAAAGGAAGGCAAGACAGTGTATTGTTATTTTTGACTCTGGATCAGGGAAATGCACAAAAAGCTTCTAAGGAGTAGTGAAACTGACTGGCCGACAGCAACTCGGAAGAAACAGAAAAGAGAGAGACGAGACAGTCAGACAGACCCACAGACAGTTCCGCTGTCACTCTGATTATTATTTAAGGTGAGTGACACTTGCTTCATGCAGCAAGAACAAGCACAGAACAAAAATAAATCTTTAAAAATGTTACAGCCCCTTATTTGATATCACCTAGACAAATTCAACACCAGATATGCTCAAATAGGATTAAAAATCACGTATACTGAACTAAATCATATATCAGTAGAAATCTATATTTACATCTTTCATATTTGGAACTATTTGATTGGCTGGCGTCTTCCTTAAGGCAGTGCTGGGAGGTGCTGATAAAAATCAATGTCACAATATTTTCCAAAAATATTACAGTATCAGATTATAAGCTTGCACTAATGAATCTTTTGTGCAAAAAGAATGTTTTGCAAACCTGACGTAGGCTGTATTGATTTAACTGTTTTGCTCTGTTTTCCTTTTTTATAATTACACCAAAGGGAATCTTACACATTATTATATTTTTCAGAAAGTAAACTTTTATGTATTTTGAACAAATGTTTCCAAACTACCTAAAACACCCATCTATCAACGCTGCTAAAACTGAATATTTATATTGTCATGTGGCAACAAACCACAGCCCAGCACTATCTTGAGGCTTCCACAGCAATACTTGATGAAGCCCTAGTCTTGACCTTGTACTTTAAGTTCCTCGTTTTCAGCAATGACAGCAAAGAATCACGCAGTGCTTCAGATCCTCTGTCCCTCCTTCACTCTGGAAACAGGACCCCTCATTACACACGGAGTACACTTTCATGAGCACAACAACGGAAGGACAAGGGCTGAATCTGGAGGTTTTTGATAATAGGATTATTTGGGAGTGACCGGAAGAGGAGAGACTGGAGAGAGGAAGGAAGGGAGAAATCTAATTTCAGGTGCATGACTTGAATACCCAGCTTCATGAAAGTCTCCAGAGTGTGTCCCCTGGTGCATCTGTCAGGATTCGTGCCATAAAATTAATAATGATGGCAATGATCTTAGCAGCCCTTTCCTGGGCCATCTGCCACAGGGGGAACAGAAGTCTGCCGCCTTCTCCTGGGAGGCTAAACCAAGCACAGAGAAATGCTACCTTTTGAATTGCCTATAAAAAGCAATGCAGCCCGTTAAGACACTTGAATTAAGGGGGAATTTCCAAAGAGTTTCAAAAATTTCTGTGTAATTACATCATTAGCATGGAAATAAAATCATTCAGAGTGGTTAATGAAATGGCCCATTCTAAAGAAACTTATAGAGTCAGAATTGTTCACAGTGGCAATGATAGGAACCAGACATCCGAAGCTTTTAATGCAGTTAATGCCTTTAAGTTTCCTCAAAGAAAAGTATGATATTGAATTGTTATAAATACACTGCCTGATGCCCGATACATTGTTTCATAATAGTTTTGTGATAAGGCTTTAGCCTAAAATATATTTTAAAACCCATTCATGGCAGAGAGGTGCATGCAAGGTGTTCTTAGGCAAAACAGTACAACTTTTTTGTGTATTTATCACTATTTCACCATCATCAATAGTACATATAAAAACTTAGACGACACATGCAGGCTCACAAGTCGTTCTAGACAGTAATTAAAATTTACACTGGGGGAACCGACAAATTGAATGAATCGTCACACCACTATGATTCGCTATTTTGGCTTTAAAAACTACTACACTTTAAATTAGTTATTTTTAATTAAAACACTTTGCCATCTATAAGTAAACTATAATGTTCAAAGTACTTAAACACTCTACTACCCTAAAGAAAGAAAGCAGTACACAGCTAAAAACATCAGTGTGCTATTTCAGGACGGATTTGTTACAGAACTGGATCAGGTTCATTCTCTTTTACCCTGTGATATCCGATCCTGCATTTCCTGCTGTCAGCCTTACACTAATGTCCATCAATACAGATCTCTATTCAGCTCCACAGGAGAAACCTGGTAGGGGTTTAAACAACGTCTGACCCCATCCAAGGTGACACAAATAACGGTCGACCAGAGAACTCTTAAGAGTAAAATGAGATAAATTAGCACTTCTTTGCACTGAAGTGAGTCCTAACTCTGAGAATTTGATTGGTCATGCGGTCGTTTAAAAAACAGACAATACAGTCTTCTGGGTCTGCATGGCACACGGCAGAACTGGGCAACTACAAATTGATCTATACTGGAAGAAGAATATATATATAACAGTAGTGATCTCCAAGCCCCCCACTCACTGTTGTGGTGGACACAGTCATGCAGCTGGATTAGCTTGAGAACCTATACTATGGTCCATACGCCTTTGTGGTGTCTTTAAGCAGCGCAAAAAGAGGATCAGTGGCCATACACGATTCAAAGCCCTTCAGTGGGGAGAGGACTGACACCAGCTGTCTACCACACAGGACTTTAGGACCTCCTCCTCTATTACTGCCTTTCAATCAACAACAAAACTGAATAATAACCAGTTTCAACTCATATGAATGCATCTAGTTATTTAGATGGTGACATCAAGAAGGTACCACCAGATTCATGATACCATTTAAAGAGCGAATTTTACTGCTGTTCAGATTGTAAAGACTTATTATTGTTGATTCTGACTGCTTCCTAAAAAGATTTTTTTAAAAGCACAGAAACCTTAAAGAGACAACAGGACATACAGAATAACTGCCTATAATAAATGTTAGTGGCTTAGACAAGGATAACATTGAAAAGTGCCCAGAAATGAATGTCATTTTTAGTCAACTACTTGTGTTGACAAGACCTCATAAAGAAGCTCTGATTAATATAGAAACCTATTCATATTAACTTACATGACCCACACGAGAGCACGCACAAAATCAAGGGGGGTGAAAAGCTAAATCCACCAACCTTTGTATCGATGAGATGAATGAAATAACTCTGTGGGGAGCTTTATCTACTCCAGCGGCTCCTCATATCCCCAGTCCATAACAAATCCCATATGCTATCAATGCAGCAGCCCACAGTGCAGGATCCTCCACTAGCCTAGCGTTAGCGCCTAGCCAGGACAGGGACACCCTGGGAAAAAGAAAGGAAAAAGTGGATGGGTAACGCTAACTGACGATAAATATCTTGTCGCGTGTTCTTAGCTTGCAAACTGGCATAAGCGCTTGTTTAAGACTGGACGTGTGCTCCTTTCTGTCTTTAAAATATGAGGTGTTCGTGTTGCCTCCTAGCCGCTGTGAGGGGAGTGAAGGGAGGCCGCTCCAGTTTAACAACAAGCGCACAGTCGAGTTGGACAAACAGAAAAGCTCAACAGGACCCGAGATCCCAAACAGGCACAGGGGAATGAAACCGAACAGCAAGCGCTCGGCTCAGTTTAGAAGTAAGTGTGTTTAGTCGTGAAATGTGAGTAATAAAAACAGCCTGTGGAGGAAGGTTTCACAGTAAAGGTTAGCAGGTTAGCTCACCGCTCGGCTCCTCACTCCGGCGGACAGCAGCAGCTGGCGAGAGCAGCGCCGATCAGACCCACAGATCCTCTTCTCCTCCTCTCCCACACTTCTCCTCCAGTCTGTCGAGGAGTAAAATCAGCATTAAAACGCCTCTCCTCGGCTCCGAGTGAGGGTGGGCGCTGACAGCGACGATTTCTAAAGTGCAGCGATCCTGAACTAAGTGAGTGTGCAGCCCCCGCTGCCCGACATGGTGCCGTTGTGCGTCTGCTCGAATCAGGAGGGATGAGGAGGGGAAACGGCTGAGGGAGAGTCGGGGGGAACAAAGGGGCAGACAGCTTCCTAGTGGAGAGAGAGCAGAAATGCAGCCGGATTTCTCCACCACCATGACCGGATAAACATGCAATCTCATCACTGCACTCACAAAAAGTATTCTGGGAATTAAAGTACAAATGCCCTATATTTTTCTACGGAGCCCTGCTGGTGACATTCCGTATAAATAAAAATAACGCGTGGCCACGACTTCGTAAGGCATGGGAACGAGATCCTAATGCATAAGGGTGGGATTGAGATAAGTCGTGGCCACGACTTAGTGAGACATGGGAACGAGATCATGCCTTTCTAAGTCGTGGCCCCGCATTAGGATCTCATTCCCACGCCTTACTAAATCGTGGCCATGCATTATGATCTCGTTCCCATGTCTTACTAAGTCGTGGCCACGACTTAACTATCTCGTTCCCATGCCTTACTAAGTCATGGCCACGACTTAACTATCTCATTCCCCTGCCTTACTAAGTCATGGCCATGCAGTATTTTTATTCATACAGGATGTCACCAGCAGGGCTCCATCCTTTTTTCTATTTCATTTTTTCCTACTTCTGTCATTTATGGGTTTTGTTACCAAAAATAGTCATAATTCATTTTACAGGACCCTTTCCCAGCCTCTGTTTTTCCCTTATACACTTAAAAAAATCACCACCTTCTTCAAGGGTTCCTTAGTAAAGACAATGGTTCTTTATAGATCCATGAGCACTCAAAGTAACAATTGGCATGGTGAAATGGTTCTTCAGATTGATGGAGAATGTGTTGTGTGTGGTTCTATACAGAACCTTTTTGAAAAGGGTTCTATATAGCAAAAAGGATTCTGCTATTGTTACGATGTCAAGCTTGCCACAAAAGAAGAACCTTTTTTGGTGTTATATAGAATCCTTTTCAAAAAGGTTCTGTATGGAATCATACACAACACATTCTTCATTAATCTGAAGAACCATCTCACCATGCAAAGAACCATTTATTAATGAAATAGTTCTATATAGATTTCAGGAATGTAAATAGAACCACTGCCTTTATTAAAGAACCTTTGAAGAACCATCTTTTTGAAGTGTGTAGAATTTAGCAGGCTGTTTTTGTTACTGTGCCTTTAAGATGTAAATGAGAGCACTGGTGAAATTGCTTGTTTTGAATTTCTTTCAAATTTAATACAAAGTTTTTGTTACAAATTGTTATCAGCATAACAATTTGAGTGAAAAGTAAAAATTTGAAATATTAACATGAATTTATAATTTCTTTCCTTTTTGCCTTAATGACTGTGCATTCGAGCTGGCATGCGCTCCACAAGCCTTGGATGAGAAGATCAAATCCACCTGAGAGTCATCTGAATATTAGCTTCAAAGGAGGAAACAAGTAAAAATAAATAATTAATAGATTAAAAATCTTACTTTTTTTGTACAAAGGCCTTTACATGGTTAAGCAAATATGCTACATGTAACATATTTGCTTAAATTCGAATAGTGATCTAGAGATTGCAGAGCCTTGAATACTTCTTAATTTTACTTGTCATAACTTTATAGTTTTTCAAAACTGTAAAACATTTCGTTGTTCATTTCAAGGTTTAAATGGATAACAGATTTCAGTGAGGTCTCAGACTTTTGGACCCCACTGTGTGTAAATAATCTGTTCTGATTGGCTGCCTTGTATTACGCATCATCCAAAAAGCAGTGCAGGCTGAAAAACCCCTTAGACACACCTTCAGTGTGAGTGGGCCGGCTAACTTGCCTTAGGCTGATATATGTGAAGGCTTATGTGTTCAGAGAGATGTTTGTAAACACTCTGATCTTAGTGACACCACAGTGCTGCAGTACTCGAGAACTTGCCCTCAATACCCAGCCAACTGCAAAACCTCCGTCTGAGGCATCATTATTGAACATCCATAATACCTTCAAACAGAACGACAGTCCTTTCCCTGTATGTTTAAATAAAAGCTGTTTGTTGCCAGTTGAGGACCTAAATGATTCTTTCCATGATGGCTAAACTAAATTGTTTGTTTATTGCTTCCAAAATTCAAACATCCTCTGAGAGCAGATTAGAATGATATTACATTTCATTTAATATGAAAATGGATGGATGTTGTTTGGTTTATTTTCAGTTGATTTAGGTGGTGATTCTGAGTAAGTTTTAGAGAAGAAGGGACAAACCTTCCCATCAATTACTTTTTACCCATCTTTAAAACATGAGTGTTGATTATGTCACTATGCACAAGCCAGCAGGGTAAATTAATATTAAGCAATGATATTGTATTCCATCTCTCATTCTACACACCTTCACCTATCACTGAGCAAAAACATTCGGCTAACTCAGATACTCCCTAACACAGCAGTTCTACGTACATCACAGTATGAAAGGAAAATGTGCCATTATTTCCAACTCATGTTATCTTCGAAATAACTTTGTGGTTGGTATGCATGTTACAAAAATGCGGTGTTTGATGTAGGGCCTTTTTTATTTGTTTTGTTTTTTTTTTGCTTATGAACCCCAGGGTCACATGACTGAGACAGAAAAGACACAAATGACAGTGTTTTGAAAAAGATCTCTTTCAAATCAGCAAATGAATTTAATAAAATGTGCGCTTAGTATAATCATCAAGCACACACCACCCATCTTAGATCAGCAGTTTAGATCAGATTAATGTGCAAGGATGACCTAAATCCATGTTTTACAATTTTCTTTTATTTAGACAACCCAAATAAAAGGCACATTAAACATTGCGCATCGTGTTTACATAATTGTTCTTGACATACATACATTTAAAAAATGTAGGAATGTTTTACCTTTCTGCTAACCAAAAAAGCCTAGTCTTCATATATACAAAATTATCAATGTTAATGTTCTAATACAAAAAGTTTTATAAAAGGTTATTTTACTTGTTTTCGTTTTTCCTTGCACATGTCTAACATATCTACCACATCCTCTGAGCTAACTGTTTTGTACAAAGATATACATTCACTGGCATTCACAAGATTTTGCCAATTCATCAAAATTTTTAAAAAGGACTGAACTACAGTTTCATTCTCCAATCCAAACCGGAAAATAAATGTCTTCCCTCACTAGTAATCAAACATGTTTCTTTAAAAAGATACTGTTGGTGCATAAGGCGTTTAAAAGACAATACTTCAGGAAAATCCTCATGACAAATTCCTCAAATGTGACTTTGTCCAAATCAAAACAATTCTTAAATCTTCACACACATTTGACATGTTCCACACTGTGGCATTTTCAGACATTTTCAGATCAGGCACAGAATTAATGCCACTGTGGAGAGACAAACATTTAGCATAAGCATACTCCAAACCCAAATGTTCTGTAATGATTTTAACCAGTCACATCAGTCCCATTCCTCAAATTCCAGTTTTCAAAGTCAAACAAGATGCCCCTGTTAAACAAGGCAACGCTCTCTGACAGAGACAGACAGACAGACAGACACACACACAGACAGACAAACGAAAAGGAAATCGCTTCAGGCACCACGTTCCTCACTGGGAAGTTCATGCAATGTATGAAAATGCTGCTACAAGTTGAAATGGGGAGACAGTTTAATACCAAAGGAATTTAAAACATACAGTAGGTTTTAGGCTTTGTTTAAACTCAGTCTGATTTCTTTGCAGCCACATATTTGCGGTCAAATCTGTTTATTTTCAATCACTGTGACCAGAAAATAATTCAAATTCTCTAAATCTAACTAGAACAGTTCCAGTTTTGACCATATTCATATGCTGACAGTCATTTCAGCAAGGTAGCAGAATGTTCAAACCCCCAGCCTTGGGTCATAGAGGATAAAAATAAATTGGAGTCTCTTTAGGACGTTTCCTCTGCCGTCTAAACACAGCCTTAGTTATTAAAATAAAATAATATTTGGGCCACAACTGCAGCCCTGACTGTTAAAGTATGGGCACATTTAGCTGATTCTCTCGTTTGTCCAGACTCACCCCTAAAACACAGACCACACAATCAAGAGGAGGGTAACTTCACAAACTAAGTCAGAAAGGAATGGAATGGGTTAGCAGTTCAGTCTAGATATTGCTTTTACCATCCATAAAGGATGAAATACTTTGCCTTGGTTCATTACTAACTTCCTACAGTCATTTGGAGCAGAGGTGAGTGTCATGGATAAACACCAAGCCAACAAACCCTGAACAACAGATGGCAGTTTTGGTTTAACCGTAATCAAGGAACAAAAAAAGTAAACCTAATAAACTGAAGCACATTCATAATACACAGTAGGCCTGTGCCGGTTACAGGATGCTCTTATTCAGATAACTGCGAAGATAACTGTCTAAAAATTACTGGAAGTGTTATTACTGCTATTATTATTAGTTTTATCTCTGTAGGTGTAGCTGATGCTTCCAGAAACACTGTTGATAACATGTCCAGAAGCACTTGCAGATGTACTCAGACATATTACTACCACCACCACTACCACTACTACTAATATTATGATAGCAAAATCTTTATCTTGCCTTAATTTTTAGATGGCCTCCAACTCTGAAGCAGAGGCAAGAACAAACACAGTGTGAGTTAAAGCTAAAAAGAAAATTATATGCTTAGCTTGGTTAAAATTGAAGTTGTAGTACATGGTCATCTTTAATTTGGCCACAAAAGTGTAATCTAGTTATAAAGAATGGTACTGTGACTGTCATTGGAAAGTTTGCAGTCTGACACCTGCTGATAACGCTTTTCCTGAGACCCAAAGCCGTTTTGTCCGAAACCTGACACTGTGGCCTGTGGATGTCCTAAAATGTACATCCTCGGAGGGCTTTTTGAAGGCATGACATCTGCCTGCAGCATCGAGCACATTCAACCAGTGCAGCTCAACCAACGCAACTCAAGTCGCAGTTCTACAACAATTTCATCTATTCTAGGTGCAATAAATGTGGTATTAAAATATCAAAGTAGTTAAAAATGATGTTCACCTGTGGAAATATTAGTGTCTTTCAAATAAGTCAGTAAATGAACATTTGTTTTCAAACCTGCAGTAAATGAGCTTTTACCCTCACTAGTGGCAGTTATCGCAGTACCTCGGTTAGCCGTCACCAGGCACAGGCCTAACAGACAGCTATTCTGACAAAGATGAGTGGCAGCTTCAAGGGACTTCAAAGTTTCAGAAAATAAGGAGACAATGGTTTAGTGTATTAAAAAAGGAGGTTGGAAAAGTGTTGGGCATGATCCTACTAATATGAGTGTCAAATGAGTGGGTTTCTCTCAGCAAAGAACCTGAGCAAAGGTCCATGGAGTTCAGCCCTCATCCTTATAGAAGGAAGAGTAGAGATTTCTCATTGACTTAACACTCTTAAAAATATTGTTTCTATCTTGGGGAACATTTTCAGTGTGCTGATTGAAGCCACTAGATGACCAAACATCTACATAAGGAAGCTTAACTACCAAAAAAATAATAACAAAAAAAAAATTCATAATACTGCCATTAGGATATCACCAATCAGATATGTTTTCAGTGCAAGACTTGTGTCAAATCGCTACTGTAATGTCCATCACCCACTAAGCAGAAGGATATCCCAGCTATTCAAAACAATACTACAATTTTTCTTCTACCAGGAATGACCATCTCCAGAAATTACGTCAAAACTAGAAAAACAGCTACAGTTTTAAGTGGTCTGCACGAAAAGTAAAACCACTTATCCTTGGAACAGCTTTCCTTACGTAGATAGTATTGTTAAAAAATAATAATAATAATAATAATAATAATAATAACAACCATCTTCCACAAAATGGAAGCCTCTGTCCCTTTTGTAGTACACGACTCAATGCATAAAACTAGGGAATACTGATGAGCAAGCTAAAATAACAAAAATAAAGTCCTCACAGTTCATAAAACCGTTAATACCAGTCACACAAACTATTTGATGGAGCAATTTGCTCCTCTTCAAATGGCTACTGGCAGAGATTTTCTGGCACTAGCAAAGTGAAATCACCAAACATACAGCATGTTAGGCCTCCACTCCATGCATTAACTACTTATTTTCCTTTCTTAAGCAACTTCACTAAATTCTAGACAGTCTGGGTTGGCTTACTCTTTAGCCAAAAATAAGGATAACCAGAGTGCCATCTAACATCTACTAGATCTTCACTTCTTCTCATCTGCTGCTGCTGCGGTCTGTCCGCACTAGTTTGTAGCTTCTACCTCACGTCCTTCCATGCCCTTTCTTCACACAGGACCCATGCTACTGATGGAAGACCAGAACAGGAGACAATGTTTTAAAATAAAACACGAGGGTTGGACGTGTATGAGTGGACGTTCGGTTCTACCAGGGCGGGGAAGAAGGCAGGACCTGGGAAAGGAACGGCATGCTCTCCATTGGCCTCATGGCGATGTTCAGAGGGCCAGTGATGTTCATGGGCATGGGTGTGGTGATGGCCACTGGATGAGCGATGTTCATGGGCGCCGTGGCTGGTATATTGACTGAGGCGATGTTCACAGGAGCAGTGATGGTGACCGGGTGCTGCAGGCTGACCGGCGCCGTTATGTTGACTGTGTTGGAGGCGATGGTGACTGGATTGCTGACCGTGCCACGGTTCATGGTCGTAGTGCTGGCGACAGCCGAGGCAGTGACTGGTGTGGCTGAGGCAGAGTTGCACACGTTGTTAGTGTCTGAAAGAAAATGTAGCAGGACAAAAATGAATAATGCTTATAGATATCATTATAATATTTGTTTCGTAAAATTCTTACAGATGCAGTGTTGCATCTCACCAATTGAAAAAAAAATCCATGTTTTTGATAATTCTTAAACTTAAAAAAAATGTTTATTTTTCTTTCAATTTACAGAACTGGTGGAGTCTATTTGGCTATTCATAAATGTTCATCAGTTATTTAACCAAGATAACAACATGGAGCAAAACACAACCAAACATGCACTAATACTAAAGAAATTCTGCAATCTATACTAGGGGTGCACGGTCAGAATAACCCAGGATCAGAATCGCATGATATCCGCTCCCAACACTAATCTTTCAATGTATCTTTATCCTAGCCAGTCGTTGTTAAAATTCTAATTGCTTTTCTGAACGTTTTGTCTAAAGGGCGAACATACGTGGATGTGTTTGGCCTACCCCCTAGTTTTACTACATTAATTTAGCCCATAGAGTGCAAGTTTCAAGTGAAGAACAAATAAACAATGTTGCTGTCTTTATTACCTGTTGCTTTCAAAAAGCTTTCACTATTAAAACGGATTTAGCTATAAAGAAACTGTAATCGGGCATAAAAAGTAATGATCAGTGCAACCCTAATCTAAATGACAATGTGAAAATGATAAAACAGTTGGGAAAAACCTCCTTTACCACCTGAACCCTGTTCGTGTAATCAGAAAAACCTTGAAGTAGCCGAATAAGAACAGCCAGTGGTCACAACGAGCAGTGATCAATCAATAGTGAGGCTGAGGCAGAGGGAGGCCACGGGAGCAGCTCCCTGCAGGAGTGACGACACAGTGGCAAACGAAGATGCCCACCTGAGTGTGTCAGTGTGTGGCGTCCTGGTTTGGTGAGGCTGGAGCGAGTGGAGGCCAGGAGGAGGTAGTAGAGGAGGAGGAGTTAGGGGCGAGGGCTGGCGTACCTTTGTTACAGGGGGAGGTGAAGCCGGCTTGGCCGTGGGTCTTCAGGTGGCTGGTGATGTAAGCGGCGCTCAGCATCTTGCCGCAGATGTTGCAGGTGACCTTGCCCTCATGGCGGATCATGTGCGAGCGCAGACGGTCTTTGGTAGCGAAAGCAGACGTGCAAGCCTGTCACAGCCCATAAACAAGCAATCAGCATATCAGTATGCCTGTCAGTATGCACACTGCAATTACAAGTCATACAATTTCAGCTAAAATAGCCTTACCATTTTAACTATTATAGCTCTCTCCTGGAAGAAGTACACAGCTAATGGCACTGTACATTATCACTATCCAGAATGCTATAAAGCAGATATGGCCCCCCCCCAAAGTGAGAACTAATTTTTATCTTACAATCTTAACTGTGAACAAAATATAGTGCAAATGTAATGTCATACATTTTTTAAAATTCCATCTGAAATCTACCTACCTTTTTTATTTGTATATTGTTTTGTCTTTTTGGCCATCAGCTCACCAAAAACACCACATTTTGGCACCCAAAATGTGCAAAACGTAGACGCACCTATTGGTGTACTCTAGGACTGCTACTAACTAACAGTTATATAGTAATTAATCTATAGATTATTTTAGCAATTTATTAATTTTCATAACAAAAAATGCTATAGAACAATAAAAGTTCACACACACACACACACATATAACGTATATTTTGTCATGCAAACAAATGTGGGATTGAACGACTCTGAAGCTGTAGTTACATCAGTGTTGTTAAACACAAAAAAAAAAATTTAATATAGGCTAGTCCAAAAGGCTTATAATAATAACAGCAACCTATAGACTTACTTAAAATAACAATATAGCTAAAACTTATGTTAACAAGAAGTGATTTTAGGTTGTTAAAATGAGTTTTACTGAACTGATGGCAAGAACCCATTAAGAACCACAGCAAGGGCTACCAAACAGTATACCTGCTGGATGACTGTAACTAGTGTAATAAACAGATCCCACTGAAGAGGCGGGAGAAAAAGTTTCCCCACAGCTGTAACCATTAGCAACCAAAACTGTCACAGCCCAAAAACAAGACAGTAACGGAAACGTGCCCTCTTACCGTTACTTGGCATTTAAAAGGTCTTTCTGTGGAGTGAACATGCTTAACATGACAGCTGAGATGATCTGGCCTGCAGGGGGAGAGAGAGAAGAGAGAAATGAATGAGGAGAGACACACCAAGCTCAAACTTCTCTTTTAAGCTCAAGGGGAACACAAAATTATTAAAACATATGTCTATATAAAATATAAGATTCATCATCTCAGCTCTGGCAAACATATCATTATAATTACACATGCAGTAATTACAGTATAATTACACATGTACTTCTGAAGCACCAAAATACTGTGAACAAACATTCAAATGTAAATCAGTATCACAGCAAGCAATAGCAACTCATCAGAAATGAGCATTTCTCCATTCTAAAGGACAATAAACTGAGAAGTATTCAGACTCTTATGTCACTCTCAAACCTTTATGCAATGAAAGCAACAACACGAATGTGATAGTATTACACTGATCATGATAAACACTTGTGTCTTGACTATCTAGAGTGGTCAAAACTACTTGTGTGCGGGTTAATCCAAACCTGGGGATCACATGCTCCACCTACCTGGAGAAGCCCTTCCCACACACAGAGCAGATGTAAGGTTTATGCACACCCCCATCATGTGAGCGCACATGGTAGGTCATGCGGTCCTTCCTTTTGAAGCGCTGGTGGCAGATTGGGCACTCAAAGGGTTTTTCGTCCGAGTGCGATAGCTTGTGCCGGTTTAGATGATAAACGTCTCGGAAGGCTTTGCCACACATCTCGCAACCGTGGTTCTTCTTCACCGGCTTGGGAGGTTTTTTAGGCACACTGGGCTGCTGCTGCTGCTGCTGGGGTAGGGCGGACATCACGCCAACCGCCGTAGAGGCCGAGGTGGTGGCCGTTGTGAGGATGCCTGCCACGGTAGAGACGTAGGAGGGGTTGCCGTTGTTGTCCCGTGGCACCGTGGAGATGAGAGGCACCATGGTGGGCGCTGTGGTGGTCTTCTTGGGTCGTGACACCATTTTGATGCCCGTGTGGCAGGACTCGTGCCGCCGCAGGTGGTAGCTGTCCCGGAAGGCCTTGTTACAATAGCCGCAAATAAAGGGGGTCTTGGATTTGGGCTCTTTTTTGACCACCACCGGACCCCCTCCACCTGGACCGCCTCCTCCTCCCCCACCTCCACCCGCCCCACTGGCCACATTGTCCTTAAGGAGCTCTGTGGCACTGACTGGAGGCTTCTGGTCCAGCGGGATGGGCAGCACAGGCTTCTGGTCTTGTGGTTCAGCTCCAGAGTTGAGCAGGGGCAGCAGGCTGTTCTGACCCACCTGGTGCTGGTGGTGTAGCGCTTCATTTGCCTGCTGGAAATAAGAAGAGACACCACACATAAACACCAGGGGTCACATTTATAAAACATGCCTGAATTTCATTCTAAGATAAATTCTCAGCATTTGTGTATGTTTATCTACAGAGATTTTGGCATCAAAATCAAATTTTCTAAAATCACTTCTTATAGGACAATTACACAGATTTTTCAAAATTTCTGCATAATTAAATATTTAACACGTAATAAAAGTTATTCAGACATGTTAAGTGTGCCGTTCTAAAGAAATATAAAAAATCAGAATTGAACAAAAGAACCAGAATGCTGAACCATTTAACGCTTCTAAAAGCTACATCCCAGAAAGATATTGCACAAAAATGTTATGAATGTGTTTCCTGATCTTTGAGACAATGTTGTACAATAGGTTTAAAATGGTTTATAAACTTATTTTTAAAGATACTTTAATGTTGAAGAGGCACATGCAACATTTTTTCCCCAGATGTGTACATTCAGTGGCCATTTTAGCAAATAAAATTATATATTTATGTTATACACAACGCAAAACATGGTTTCTATCGTCACAATTGTAAAGAAATTCAAGCGGTAACTTTCTGTACAATAAATCATTTTAAATCAAATCACTCTGAATGTTTACACCACAACGACTGAACGCCAGAAATTTAGGAAAAATTGTGACTTTTCAAACACAATCATTCCAAGATCAGATCCGTGCATATGAATGATTTATAAATGAGGTACTAAAGCACTAGACAACATGTCTTCCAGACAGGCAGGAGGACAGAAGACAAACTGAGCTCTAGCCTTTAAATAACATTTTAAGCTTATCTTAACATCTTAGCTTAATTTATCACAGTTTTTGTTGATCACCTTTATGAAATAATACTGAAACAAGAATCACATTAATAAATTAGGTAAACTAAATACAAAATAATGACTGAGTGGTATTATCTGATAGTGTGTGGACGTCAAGCCCAAAGCAGACTGACCGTGTTAAATCTATCAGAAATAGAAAGTGACTCATTTCCAGAGCATCTGTGCAACTCGGAAAACAAGCAGCTCTGACTGAGACTCAGCAAGATAAAGAATGATGAGCAATCGTGCGAAAGAGAAAAAGATGGAGTTAGACAGACAGAGGGAGAGATAGACACACATTTTATCTTTCCAAAGAGCTTTATCAACACAGCTGAAGAGTTTATACATATAAAAAATTAAGCTCAGTCAGACATCAAAATCTGAGCTCACCCAGGTGGTAAATTGCTAAAACAATTTTAGACACAGAATTACACTCTGACATACATGTTTTGTACATAGATCAAATCACCACTGGGTAGAGAAGGCCTACGAGCGGGACATCCAAGAGCCTATGGCACCTCTGCATAAAAAGACACATAAGCATGCTGCCACTATGGCACCTAAATCTGTAGCGTGTAAAGTGATCTCTGGCTGTGATGAAAGCAATTCCTCATGTGACTGGCCCTGCAGGGCACAGGCTGTTCTGACTGAGGGGAGACGTGTCAAACCTACCTACTCTATGTGTTATAGATTACACTACAGAGGAACACCATGCAGGAAAGCAACATACATGGCAAAAAAGTTTACAAGTCTGTGACTACTGAATTAGTAAGACCGTCATGAGAACTAATTAATGATTTGATTAAAACTAAATATAAAATCTTCCTTATCTTCTTAATAAATCTACAATTGCAATTTGCATAATAATGCATATTCTAATTTCTCCAATTGGTCTTTTTGCCTCATAAAAACATGTTTTTTGTCTTTTTAAAGGCTTCCTAGCGCATCTTTTTCCCTTTGCCCCAGAAAGCATTTTGCAGTGTCTGAAAGGCTTTGCATGGTTTGTGATTTTTATTCTTTGGCCTTTCCAAAAACACTAAGATTACTTGAATAAAATAGGTCTGCAACTAACCATCACTTCTGTAATCACTTTTCATGATTAAGAGACTAATGATTATAAATTACTTCTCACTGCTTTCTGTTTGTGAGAAATAATTTATGTAATGAATAAAAAGGAAAGCTTTTAATGTTTGATTAAAGTCTTCAAACAGGTACTAAATATAAAAACTTTACATTGCTTCTTCACTTATCACTTATTTTTTTAAACTTATCTTTCCTGTTTTCTCGGTTCTAGATTCTAATTAATTATCATGTTGTTGCTGTTTATGATTCTGAGGGAGGCAGTGTCTGGTAAAACAGTGGCTAAAGGTTTCTGCATTACATAACTATAGTGGTCACATTCGTGATTTTATGACTTGTAATTTTATAGATTTTAATCATCCCAAAAGCATCCTAAAACAGACTTCTTATGTCATTTTTATCCTCCCTGGGACGGATGGGCAGAGCCTTATGATTGGATTACTGATTTGCTACCTCAGTATGGCATTAGGTTTACTACACTGTACTTAACATCACTGAAATGTTTGTCTCTTCCATAAGTCAATCTGTTTTCCAGCATTAACATAGCTTAATGTTACATTTACTGTGCTGACTTTAGCCACTTAGGCTTTTTAGCTACAAGCACTACCTCTGCATATCCCGCTCTGCACGCTGTGATTTCTGTGGGTCTTGCTTTCTTGACTTTGTCTCTCTCTGCTGCTGCCAAATAATTTAAAGCTTCCTGTGACCCAAACAATTTCGTCTTATGATGCACTGAAAGAAAAGAAACCACGTTGCCCCTGTGTGTGCACGTGTGTGTAGAGTGTACTGAAATTTTTCAGTTAATATGCATATGAACATTACAGGGGGTTTTCTTTAAGCAAACAACATATAATGGCTGCAACAACAAATCAACATGTTTGATAATGCTGATAACTAAAAATTGATGGCAACAAATCATGTTATCAATCGGTTGTCTTGATGTTTGCACATCCTGTCATGTGATTAAAAGTGAGAAATACAGACTGCAGTATGGTGCATAACCAAAAAAAATCAAAAACTATAAAAACATTTTTTGTGTACAGTATGTAAAATCGAGTTCAGTGGGCAGCACAACCATCAGGCACGAATATGAGAGAGAAAATACACTGCATTCATGGCAGAAACTCGGCTTTGAGAAACACTAATATCTTATTACAACTGCTGTCAAAAGTAAAACATGACGCATCTCTGTCCGCTTTTCAGCTAATTATGTTTTAGTTTACTGCTTAGTAGATAAGCTGAAGATAAACTGTTTGGCTAGCCTACACGGTAATCAGGACTGCTTGTCCGCTAATGCACACAAATTAGCTCAGTTGTTTTCAGTTTTTTCTCCAGGTTTTAGCTTCACATCCACACAAATATAGAGCTTTAAATCACTGAGGTTTTTTTAAACTCCATTTTCAGTATTTGAATGTGGACTGATAAAACATATATTTTTAAAACGCAGACATCAAGTGTGCGGCTGTTTTATACGGGATGAGCTGCTTTAGGTCTCTGCATCTGACACGGCTACTGACTGGAGTGTGTGATCTCTAATATCATATCACATTTCATTACATGACATTATCGACCACAGAGAAGCATTTAAATGTATTTTTGCTTTATCATTAGAGAAGAACTACAGAAAACAGGCCTATCTTGATTACCATTTGTTAGTGTTGTTTCTGCACCTTTCAAAATTATAATTTTCAATCTGTTGCTGTCCCTGTGATAAAAGCACCTTTCAGAAAATATAAATAAGTGTACAGGTGTTATGTTTTTTTAATGAAGAAAGAATAATACTTGTAATTGCCAGACTAACATCTGCAGGTTTTTGTTTCCAAACTAATCAATTAACTGAAGTCATAACAGACCAATTAATCGATTATGAAAATTGTCTAGTTGCAGTGCTCCAATGGACTGATAACAAAAAAAAATCCACATCAACAGTTTTTTTTATAACCGGTGCAGTTGATTTATCATTGCAGCCCTACATCAAAGTAACATTGATTACTGATAGAACTGATAGATAAGATGTGTGAGAAGCTTTATCACACATAAGATAGTTAACAGAAAATGCGTAAGAAGACTACGTGGCAGGAATTCCCTTTAACTCCACATAAACTGCTCATAAAGTCAAATCAAACAAATCAGTACAGTGTTACTGCTCATTACTGTTGTGACGTGCATGTAAGAGGAAACCAGAATTTTTCTCCCTAGAGTAAGACTGTGTGGACTTTTTCAGGTATCAAACATTGCTTGTTACATTTGAGAAGACTTTAAAGAGAGGTCAACAGTGCATATGCTCAAGAGGGGTTCTGGAGTCCAGGGCTGAACAGAGGGCAAACACAAGTTGAAAGACTACACTATCATTAAAGCCTGCCTATTCTGCAGCTGCCTGCATTGTGCCATTGGTCACGGTATCCAGAGAGAGAGAGGGAGAGAGAGAGAGAGAGAGAAATAAAGACACAAAGAAACAAACAAAAAAAAATACAGAATTGCATTCACAAATACAAGTATTCCACTGTGAGAAACAGTAAGGCTTACAGTAACATGCAACCTGCACTATGAGGCTCTATATAGCTGGGATGACCCAAGACAAAATAAAGTGCTGAGTTATGTTAGTCCAAACATTTTCAGCTTAGCATTGAACACTGTTTCTAGATATTAGAATATCCTCAATACCCTTCTGCCACTGCATATTCTGTTCCAGGCCAGTGTGTGTAGGATTTGGGAGCCCAATTTGCGGTTCAACCTGTTTAATGATATGACAGCGATACAGGCCAAACAGGTAAAACAAAACATGTCAAAAAATATCCAGGGTTGAAATAACAAAACATGTCAAATGTATCCCAAACTAACCTTTTGCATGGGAATGGCATGTTATAACAAAAAACCTTTCTATGAATAGAAATAATGAAAAATCAAAAGTAATTTATAGAACTCTAACCCACCAAGAACTCTGGGAAGCTCTTCCCTCAGTGCTACAAGACAATCATCAGTCAGTAAAGCATTTCTCAACTAAAACTACTGGACTGTAAAGTTAAAATGGCTTCCAAACAAATGTACAAGATTATCTAAACCCCTATCTGCCCAACAATACACTACTATGATTGACACTTCAACACAAACACAAAATCACTTTAACACATGCAAATTCACCCAGAACATACTCTCTGGATGTGACATAAACTGTTCATTACAGACAGATTTCCAAGATGTGTCCTGCTGCTCAAGCTGGAAAAAATCTGACTGAACGAGAGTGAAGTGCTCTGTGTAAGACAGGTCTGCCAGTTTCCGAAAGTGGTTATTATTATTATTCAGATAAGGGCTGTTATTAATAAGGCTGGAATCCATTAAAGAGCATGCTGGTATCTGACTGGATCTGTGTGAGTGTGTCTATGTGTAAAGCTTGATGCATGATGGAGCAGCCAGACAGACACTTCAGACTGCGCCAGTGGCAGGGCAGCCTGCTGAGAGTCCTCGCTGCTCTGATGATTCAGATTCAAATCCACTCAGAAGGCTGAACATCAACATCAATAATAATGCAGAAGAGCAGAGCATGAAAACTAGTGCTGGGCAGCATTGAAGAAATTAAATATCTCAATGTTCAAAAAAAAATAACACTATTATGGCACCAAATTATATGTAAGCTTGCATTAATAAAGTTAATGACCCCATTCGTACTGAGAACTGCTACTCTCTACTAACAGCATTACTCAGAAACATGACATAGCATGTTTTGATGGGCTGTCGGTCGTCAACTAAACTTACTCCGAAAGGAACGTTACACAGCGTATTTATCAGCAAGTGAACAGGGATGCTGCTAGTTTATGGAACATAAGGCTATAATGAGTATAGCACTCGTTTTTGTTTTTTTAATCAACGTTGCTAAAAATCAATATTGTTGGGTGGCACTGATACAAATGATATCACACAGAAACAGAAAGAAACCGAAACCAAATAAACATTACTGCCTCATCACTAGTTATCAGTTTGGCTCAATCTAACCTCTAGTTTCGACTTGATTGGCGATGTGCATTCAAGCTGCGCTTCATTTAAAGAAACCGACTACGATCTTTTTCTCTTGCTTATTCACCTGCCTCTTTCTACTCATTTGCTCTTTGTCCAGAACAGTGACTGAATTCACTCCACTGCAGCACTAAGTTTCTTGTCTGCTACAGCCGGATTAAGAGACGCCTGTTGGGAGCTGGACAATGCCACGCTTATGAATAACCTCAGACGCCTCCCGAACAATGCGGGTGACGCGATACACCGCTGTCTCATTAGATGCTTCATCACAAGGGTGGAATCAAGCAGAACAATTGATGCGCTTTCTTTTCAGAATTTCTCCCAGGACAAAAAAAAACAAAAAAACTGATCCCTAAATGACTCAAAGATTTATTTGTTCTTTAACTTTAATAACAAACAACATCCATCATGATAAATATTACACTAATATGTTTCAACTAGGTTAAAATGAAAGTGTTTTGTCATTCAGTCAGTTAACTTCGTCTACGTGTTAACTGATCAGAACAGGACATATTTCTAGCTGTGAAAAGTTGAACCTTCAGTGATCAAACATCTCAGCATGGGGGTAGGTTTCAGTCAGTTTTAGGGGCTTTCCAGGTAATGCCTACATCTGCAATATGCAGATACAAGGCCCTGCCATATATTAGTCAAATGCTTGTGCCAGCTTGTTTTTTGTTTTTTTTTTATTTCACTCTCCAGTTCTAAGGAAATACTGTTGAATCCCAGGAGGAGGGCCTCAGGTATCACAAAACTGTTGTTAAAAGGAGGTAGACAACACTTCCAAAATAAGGTCTTCCTTTCTGCCTCCAAGCTTAAACCTAACAAGCGGAGCAGACCTGAAATGTCAAATCTCTCATCATACTTGGACCATGTCTAAATTCTCTACAAGCTGAACTAATATTCATCCTTTAGCAACAGCAAAAAGAGTCGCATTCCGGCCAAACCTGAATTCATAAACAAACACTATCCACTGCTATGCGCCAATAATCAGTCCGCTGCAGCTCGGCTGTATTGTGGTAAAGTTAATGAAGTGGCTAGTCTGGCTGTACTGAGTGTAAAAGGGCAGGGCTGCTGGCACTGGCCACGGGAATCGGCAGCAGAGCCCGAAGCAGCCCGAGCATAGCTCAGATTCCATGTGGATGCTGGTTTTTTGACGAGCAGAGGTCGAGGGGGCAAAGGGAAAGAAGTTTTGGCTCCATCTCAAGCCCGCCAAAGGCTGTGCTTCGCAGAGAAGTACAGACTCTCAGGCGGGCTGTAGATGACTGCACGTTTACACAGGCTACTCCAATTTCTCCACGCTCGGCGTTATAAAGAAGAGGGGGAGAGCACGAGTGTGGATGAAACGCCAAATAAAAAAGCTACCACACAAAAGTTAGTTGCTTTTAACACATGTCCCGTGATAACTACGCCTACTTAGGTCGATTAAAGTGGGCAGAAAAGCCGCTTTGCTGCGTGACGACGTGTGATTTTCTTTATTTTTCGACATGGTGGCTCTGCTCTGCTCTAACCATGCGACTGTTAAATCAATGACGGGCATCATTAAAAGTAGCTAAACGCTGCCGAGCAAAAGTAAGCAGCCGGCTAGGCTAGCTAACACAAGCAAAGCGAACAGGAGAGAGTGTAGAGAAAGAATAAAAGGAAGAAAAACAGATGAGAATGAGCCCATCGTCTCCCCCGGACTTCACAGCTGGGAGTCTGGAACTGATGTAGCCAGCCTGCTAGCGCAACTCGCTAGCTAATGTAAGCTGGCACGCTAGCTAGTTAGCACGTTAGCACGCTACCATTGTTTTGCTTGAATAGATTTACCTCAAATTAATGTTTTTGTAGACATAAAATGTCGGCGGTGAGCGCGGGCTTTGCGGCTCGCGACCGATTTCGATTCGCTGCGGTTCGTTTAAAACGTTTCACTCACCTGAAATAAAAATGAACTCCAGCTCGGCTCCATTGCAACACTTAAAAAAATCTGCAGGAAACCTACAAGAAATCTACAACAAAGCAGCTAAACATGGCAGCGGCTCCAACTTCCTGTAACCCTTCGGGGGGACCGTCAGAGTCAGAGTGGAGGAGAGACGGAGACCAACAGAGCGGAGCTCACAGCACAGTCTACAGCCCGCAGCCGCACCGACTGCGGCTCATTTAGACTCTCTTATAGGTTTAAAATTATTTTATTTAATTATTTTTTATTCAAATAAAATTAAGTATAGGAGATCAAATACACGGAAAAACGACTGAATTTGTAGTATTTGCCGTTCATTTTAATTTATTGTATCGAAATGAGGAAAAAAGTTTTCTAAGAAAAAAAAAATACCTTTATTTAAAAAAATTGAAAAAATATTCAAATTTAAAATGTAGTAAATGTCTGTATGGCAGTATCTATCTATCTATCTATCTATCTATCTAGTCTTAATGAGAATAAAAAAGGTCTCTGAGAAAAAAAAAAACATTTATTTTAATGTTTTTTAAAACATTTAAATTGAAAATTTAGTAAATGTCTGTCTATTTGTCTGTATGGGAAAAAAAGAAAAAATCATGCAAGAAAATATATGTTTAAAATGTAATATCTATCTATCTATCTATCTATCTATATATCTATCTATCTAACTATCTATCTATCTGTCTATCTATCTATTTACAGTTGAAGTCATAAGTTTACATACACTTATGTAGAAGTCATTAAAACTCATATTTATCCCCTCCACAGATTCCATGTCAACAAACTATAATTTTAGCAAGCTGTTTAGGATGTCTACTTTGTACATGACACAAACAGTTTTTCCAATGAATGTTTACAGATTATTTCACTTACAATTGACTATTTCAAAATTCCAGTGGGACAGACGTTTACACACACCAGAAAACGATATGGTTTTAGAAGCTTTTGATAGGCTAACTGACATAATTTAAGTTGATTGGAGGTGTACCTGTGGCAGTGGTTTAAGGCCTACCTTCGAGGCCTAGTTGTCCTTTTGCTTGACACCATGAAAAAATCAAAAGAAATCAACCAAGACATCAGTTAAAAAAAGGATTGTGGTCCTCCACAAATCTGGTATATCCTCGGGAACAATTTCCAAACACCTGAAGGTACCATGCTCACCTGTTCAAATGATAATATCCCAGTTTAAAAACTATGGGACCACACAGTCATCATACCATTCAGGAAGGAGACAAATTCTGTTCATCTCTAGAGATGAACATACTTTGGTGCGGAAAATACAAATTAATCCAAGAACAACAGCAAATGACCTTGTACAGATGCTGGAAGAAACAGGTACAAAAGTATCTATATCAATAGTAAAACGTGTCCTTTATTGAAATGACCTGAAAGGCCACTCTGCAAAAAAGAAGCCACTGCTCCAAAATCGCCATAAAAAGGCCAGGTTACAGTTTGCAACTGCACATAAGGATAAAGATATTACTTTTTTCTTAACTGTCCTCTATTCTGATGAAACAAAAATGGAACTGTTTGGCCATAATGACTATCATTATGTATGGAGAAAAAAGGAGGAGGGCGGCAAGCCAAAGAACACCATCCCAACTGTGAAGCATGAGGGTGGCAGCATCATGTTGTCAGGGTGCTTTGCTGCTGGAGGATCTGGTGCTCTTCACAAAATAGATGGCATTTTGAGGAAGGAAAATTATGTGGAGATATTAAAGCAACCTGTCAAAACATCAGCCAGGAAGTTAAAGCTTGGGCGCAAATAGCTCTTCCAAATGAGCAATGACCCCAAGCATACTTGGGGTAATGGAGTGGCCATCACAGAGCTCAGAACTAAAAAAGTGTGTGCAAGCAAGGAGGCCTACAAACCTGTCAGGAGGAATAGGCCAAAATTCCAGCAACTTATTGTGAGAAACTGAAATAAATCATTGTGTCTAGTATTATTCTGACATTTCACATTCTTAAAATATTGTAGTGATCTTAACTGACCTAAGAGAGGGAATGTGTGAATAAATGTCAGGAATTGTAAAAAACAAAGTTTAAATGAATGAGGCTAAGGTGTATGTAAACTTATGACTGTATTTATCTATCTATCTGCCTGTATAGCTATATGTCTGACTGACTAGGAGAAATAAATAAAAAATTTTATGTTTAAAATGTAAGATTTGTCTGTCTGTATGTTCATTTATTCTGAATAGGCCACTGTCTATTGTAATATGTTTTCTGTATTAGCACAAAAAAATGAAATAAACATTTTATCCACGTTACCTAGAACATTAGTACAAGGCAAGATATATTTAGTTATATTTTTCATCGATATCCTGAAGGTTATTTACATACGCAACCTAATCAAGTTTTCAATATATAAAACCCTCAACTAAGTTGTTTTAGCTGAAACACACAGTCCAGGTGTTTTCCACAGAGCCGCAGTGCAGAAGGGCTGTGATAAACTGACTACTGTCACTTGCTCACAGCAAACAGCACCTTCCATCACTAATCTGAGTGAAAATAATAATGCATATATATACATACATATACAATATATCTATATATATATATCTATAAAATTATTCTTATTTTTCTTTGGGGGAAGATAAAAGGAAAAAGAGAATAAGTATTAGCATTGTTCCCCTATTCCAGCAAGTTCTTGTTTCACTGTTCATGGACATTCAGAGAAGTTGCCTCTCATTGTACTTCTGAATCTTTGTTACGCTGTATATTGGGAGTCTTTGTTTGAATACAGTACAATGAGGGTTTCGGATGGAAGGCCTGAATACGTTGGGTCAGCCTATTCTCCCAGAGCTCGCTCAGTGGAGTTCATTCCCTGCAACAACAAGCTTCTCTTCAAATGTAGAAATGCGTATGGCACGTTTGTGCATATTGTCAGATTTGGATCAAATAGAAGCAAATTACCCAAAGGTGAGTTTCTCACTTTGTGCCTTTTTCCTTTTTAAATTTGAAAGTCGTTTGATCTTTATTTTAGTAAATACACATTACCTTACCACAGAAAGAAAATAATTGCTATGCAAGTTGATGTTATGGACATACAGTATAAATGTAACTGACAACAGAGCAGTTATTTCTGTCATTCTGTACCCTCTTATGTAATATAATGATATATAAGAACATTATATATAAGACATATGTTATGTAACATTCTCTGAACCTCAGAGTAACAAGCCAGATCTTTCTAACACGAAACTAAACATTGACCTGACATTTAATCTTCATGTATAATTTGAGCAACAAAATTAGATTTGGTTTTAGCAGATATTATTAAGACACTGACTATGCTACTCTGCTTTTTTCCACCCACTGGATTTTGGTCTTTGAGGAATGGGAGACTGGTCAATTTTGGGTCGCTTCCTAGCGGAGGTTCAGAACCACTCCACGGTGATTGGCAAGATTTGGCTGACGGTTCTGCTGATCTTCCGAATCCTGCTGGTGACGTTGGTGGGAGACGCTGTGTACAGTGATGAGCAGTCCAAGTTCACCTGTAACACCCTCCAGCCTGGCTGCAATAACGTCTGCTATGATACCTTTGCACCTGTTTCCCACCTACGCTTCTGGGTATTCCAGATTGTCCTTGTCTCCACTCCGTCCATCTTCTATATTGTCTACGTTCTCCATAAAATCACCAAAGATGAGAAACTTGAGAGAGAGAGGGCAGAGGCTAGGGTCAAGAACTCACCTGGAGAATACGTAGAGCAAGGTGACGTTTATCAGGGAGGAAAACCTTCCTACGGACCGCAGGGTGAGGAGTGGGCTGGCCATGAGGGGGAATGTGTGGAGCAGAGTCTTCTGCAGGATGACTACAGAGAGGTGGGCAAGGACCCTACGGAACTTTCCAGCCAGGTTCTGCTGATATACATCATCCATGTGGTTCTTCGATCCATCCTAGAGATAACCTTCCTGGTGGGCCAGTACTACCTGTTTGGCTTCGAGGTGCCACATCTGTATCGCTGTGAAACCTATCCCTGCCCAACACAGACCGACTGCTTTGTCTCGCGTGCTACTGAAAAGACCATCTTCCTGAATTTCATGTTCAGCATCAGCCTGGGCTGTTTCCTCCTCAACATTGCGGAGCTGCACTATTTGGGCTGGGTCTACATCTTCCGCATGCTGTGTACTGCATGCTTCTTGTGCTGCAGGCCCAAAACGGAGCTGTATTCTCCCCACAATCCTTTGCTGCTGAGGCTCAGGCACTCCATGCGAGGCAGGCTGGTCCTGCAGCCCCACACAGCCACTCTGTCCCACAAGAAGACAGCCACCACCTTGCTGTCCCACGCACCAGCCATTTCTTTTGAGACAGACTCCACAGTAGAGTGCACCTCTAAGAGGAACCCGGAGGAAAAAGAACGCATGAGACTAAAGCTAGCAAACATGGCTAGGCTGAGCAGCAAGAAGTCTTGGTTATGAGTCACCTAGGGTTGCCAACTCCATCTGACAGCAACTCCAGTAACATTATTGGTATGAGAGCCACAGTAATATGTACATAGTATGTAGTATTATAGCATTATAGCACATCTCAAGAATTTGATTTTTGAGGTCTGGGAGGAAACCAAGTCAAATTTACTGCTCTTTGCTGTATTCTTAAGTGACCTTGGGATTGTGAAAGGCGCTATATAAATGTAACTTATAATTATCATTTTGCATAATGCAACCGCTAAGAAGTAAACAGAGTGGTTTGATGTTACTTGCTCTGTTACAGACAAACTTACCAAGTCAGAGTGGTTCACAGTGGTGGTTATAGGAACCAGACTCCCAAAGTGGTGAATGCCTCTAAAAGCTCCCTCACTCAAAGCTATTACACAAAATGGTTGTGAACATGCTGCTTGGTTCCCGAGGCATTATTTTACAATAGTTTTGACATGAGCTTTTGGGTTAAATTTTAAAATACATTTATGGTGGAAAGATACACGCAGGGTGTTATAAAGCAAAATAGCACACAAAGAAAACTTAATTTTTTGGATTAAAATTGTCCTATTATCAACACATAAAAACTCCAAAGACATATGGGTTTATTGGCTATTTTGGATAGCAAGTAAAATGGCTATATTTGCACTGTAGACTTTGCAACCTCTGGTTCTATTGGCCAACATTGTAAGGTCAGAGCTAGAGCTAGTAAGTTTATTTACAGTGCAGCATTTTACCTCAAACCCTACTGAATAACTTTGTTTACATCTTAATGATTGAATCGTTTACAAATTAGGAATTCTGACTTCTATAATCTAGAACTTGGGAGTGGGCCTAAAGCAATGACTGGAACTGATAGTGAATGAACTACACTGTCAGTAAAAATGCTCGACATGGTCCCTGATATTGTCTTATTGCTTCTCAGATTGCATGGACTGGTACTGTCTCATTGTTTGTATAGCACTGTAGAATAAGTTAGCAGAGTTTCATACATGTAGTTGCAATCTGTGATTTGTACTGTAGAGCTACTTCAACATTGCAGCACTGCATAACAAGATATTTCACAAAACCTCCAAAGCTCTCAAATTGCAATTGCTTACATATATATATTTTTACAAATGAAGTAAGTTTATTCAAGGAAACAAGGAGATATGTAATGATAACCTAAAAACTATAAAATAGTTATTTACTCTTGTCTTCTTTACTTTAGACTACACATATATCCTTGCAAAGTATTTGTAAAAAGAAAATGAGAGAATTGAATGAAAGATGTAAAAAGGATGCCAAAGCTTCTTTTTGTGAAGTGATATTGCTGCACTGGATCACCAATGTCTTTAAAGCTAGTAACTTTTAGAATACATCATTTGATTTGGGTGCATGTTGTAGTCTGTGTGCTGTATTTTCCCTTTTGTTTACATGATAGTTTGAGCTTTGTCCAAGAGAGGGCAGTGTTTTCACTCTTTCACACATTATTACTAATGTACCCCAGCAGAAATCTCAACAGACTATGAACACACAATACAATTACAATATATATATTTTTTTATTTTAAGAATTATAAACAATTTTGTGAAGTAAACTTATTTAAACCAACACACGTTTAGTCACCATGTTTTTTCTTATTTGCTAAACTTGTGCTAGGAACATTACTACCCAGTGATGGTTGGAAACCTTTTACTCTGGTAGTGTTGGATTTGATGCCAAAAGCATCAAGTGTCCAAAGCAACTAACATCAATCTAGTTAAGAAATACATAGAGAACACTGTTCACATAGAGGTTAGTTAAAGATTTAATTCTGCTTAAGAAAATCCATGATCCTAAAAGGTTTATTCACTATGTATTAAGCATGAGCTATGTGAACAATATATAAATGCATAAAACATTGTGAATAAATCCTTTGTGGTGTGGATTTTACTGATAAATAAGCTGTTGAACAACTCATCATTAGAAATGTGTAAAAATAAGTACAACTTTGTTTTGAGACATTTGCTTTGAAATAGCTGAAGGTCCTACACGTAAGATATTTATACTTTAAATCAATTTAATGATTGCTATAATCATTTAGTCATAACTGATTGTCATTGACCTACATTACCAGCAATGTTGTTGTTTCCAGACTGTGCAGTCTGCACTTATTCCCACAGAACCGCAAGTTTATATTGACAAGGGTGATGATAAGAGCTCAAACTTTTGCTCACACATAATTTGGCTTATATAATAAACACCACTGGCAGGATTTGGAGACAAAAGCACCATTACTTGTTTAATCTGATGTGTAGGGCCTTCAAAATTAAACATAACAGTGAAGAAGCAAAACATAGTAATAAATCACACAGAACTCTGCTCATGGGTCAGTAAGGCCACCGTTCATCAGTATAAACTGTAAAATATATTGGTTCACAAAATATTCATTGTTAACATTGGAAGACCCTGTGAGCACTAACAACAGGTGCTGACCTCCTCAGCTGTCCCGCTCTGTCCTCCAGGCCACAGGGGAGCGCTGTTTATTTTGGCTCCCACTTTAACAGTCTCATTCTGAACACTGTCTGCCCCAAGTCGCTTCTGAATTTCAGAGGCCATTGTCAAAAAGGCTTTCTCCACATTGCTTGCATTCTTTGCACTTGTCTCAAGAAATGGGATTTTAAGTGGCTCAGCAAATTCCTGGGAAAAAATGTGTAAAAAAAATAAATAAAAAGTCAATACTTAGCCTATTATCAAAGATTCAATGCACTATGTGAACTGTTTGAATACACAGTACAACTAAATATAGGACTAGAATCAAGATATTAATAATCATATATATTGAACTGAAGACATAAAACTTTATTTATTTTATGTATTTTCAGGCAGATGTGTTGTATTGTCAGTTCTGCATAATTAAATAGTTTAGACGCAAAGTCATTCAGTGTATTTTGATGTCTAATGTGCAACTCTAGAGAAACTAACTGAGTCTGAGTTTCTTACAACTGAAATGTTTAACACGTCTAAAAGCTACATCACTGGATTCTGTTACATGAAATGGTTATGAATATGTTGCCTGATGCCTAAGAAGTTGTTTTACCATAATTTTGGAGCTTTTGGTCTAAAACCTATTTTTAAAATACATGCAGGGCAATTATAAGGCCTTTTTTGGATTTACCACTTCTATTTGACCCTAATCAGCATTACATAGAAAACGAACACACATGGTCCTCTGGTCATTTTGAATAGCAAATAAAATGGGCTATATTTGAGACCTCTGGTTCGCACCATTTCACATCAGAGCACTCTGAATGACTTTTAAATCTCAGTTGAATTGTGTTGGTGAAAAATCACCTTTTAATGCGAACAGGCAGGAAGCATCCAGATTGCGTGCTGCTCTTTAAGAGACAGTTACTGAGCGTTCATTATTTGCGCTTACTAACACTAAAGCCAGGCACCGTTAAGAACCAAGAGACTATACACCTATTTTTTGTGTGTTCAGTAAATGCACATGGAAACAAGTAACCAGTTAACATGCTGTTGTACAGCCAACTGTCCCAATGCTCACAGAAAGTGGAGGGTTTGGATATAAGCCATGTTAAAATGACAAAGCACATCTGCCCAAAAATGCCTGTATGTCAATAAATAGCCTATAAGCTCACATTCTGCTCTTTGGTCTCGTATTGATCTTGTCACCTATGACTCACAAGCTTCAGTATATAACAAAAACAGATGCTTTAACACTCTGGTTAGGATACTTATGGAGGGCAGTGTGGATCAGCTTCTGATGAAACACAGCTTTGAGCAGATACCTTTGCTGTGGTGAAGTCCACCACCTTTTTTGAAGTTAAATCACTTTTGTTCCCCACCAGCAGCTTTGAGACATTTTCACAAGCATAGCGATCAATCTCCTCCAACCACTGCTTCACGTTATTGAAGGACTCCTGCAAGCACAATGAAGTCTTAGATCTATGAACATCTTACATGATAACTCATTCATCTCTCTAGATGGCCATTACCTGGTCAGTAACATCATACACGATGATAATACCATGGGCACCTCTGTAATAGCTGGAAGTTATAGTTCGAAACCTCTCCTGACCAGCTGTATCCCACTGAGGCAGTAAGAAAAAGAGTGCATGTAATTTGTAAGGTAGAAGAAATATGAAAATATGAAAATATGAAAAAATAGATTTTTTTAAGTTAAATGACATATGGATTAGGCAATGTAAACCTAATTGATTAATATGTACCATATACTAATATGTACCATTACTGTATATCACAAAATAGCAATATCATGGTAAAGATGGGAGTTTGGCTTAAGAAATATGAAAAACTTTGTCTTTATGTTTATGTCTAACTTTATGTCTAACGTCTATGTCAACTCATAGACCAACAGAAGAATCTATTATCCTACAACCTGAATAGACATTAAGCTACTGTGCTGGGCAAAAGAAGCAGAATAGTTGAGTGTAATAAACTGTTCATAAACTTTACTCACAATTTGCAGTTTAACTATCTTCCCGTCCATCTCAATAGTCCTGATTTTGAAGTCAACCCCGATAGTGCTGATATAGCTTTCAGTATAAGTGTCATCCTGTTGACATCAACATACATTACCAACACTGAAGTGTGGTCAAAATGAATAGTGTGTTTATCTAAACATCATACACTAGTCTTAGATTTAGACAGTGCCTATCAAACACATATATAGGACATGAATGGATGTTTCTCACTTACCGCAAAACGCAGCAGTAAACATGACTTTCCCACTCCGGAGTCTCCAATCAGCAGCAGCTTGAACAGGTAGTCACTAAGAGAAAACATGATACTGTTACAAACAAGCCTTTTTCAGCGTAGAATTCTTTTCCATTTATCTCTACATCCAGCCTATACAGAAATGTAACACATCTAAATCTATCTGTATTTTGGAATAAATTATAAACATATTACATTATGTTCACATGTGAGTTAAATTGCATTCATGTAGATATTGGCAATATCATTATCTACAACACATTTACTCATCCATAATTCAGCAAACACTTCTTTCAGGAAGTTTCTGGCATAAGGACTACCTCTATGTTAAAGGCATAAGGCTAACACAGAGTAGGATACCCAAAATAAAGCTGAACTGTGACCCAAGCACTTCCTTTTTTATACCTTTGCCAGAGCTTATGACCCTGAACAGCAAAATGAAGTAAATTCAATCACCTACACAACATAACACATCATGCTACACACCACAACAACCAGACTACAGTATACTCACTACTCAGGATTCATGTTCAAGCCACTCAATGGCACTGTTCCAGAAAGGAGAAGATTCTTGCTTTATTTCCTTAAATGCTGTTATGTCTCCGTCCTTCAAACAAGCAAACAGCAACAACTGTACAGACTACAGAGAGCCCAGAAAATGCTCCATTAATAATTAAAACCATTGATCGAGTTACAAAGAGGCTGTTACCTGTGTCTTAAAGCAAGAGCACCACAGCAGCAGGCATATAGAGCACTGATAGTCTTTAAAACACTTTCAGTCATTTGTAACAAGATGTTTATTTTCATCTGTTCCAATCTTTACAGTAGCTGTCACAGCAGGAACATCTTTAACAGTGTTTTTAAATTATTGGAAGAGCAGCCAAGAAAGACTCCATGAAAGTTGTATCAAAGATATCCTTCTTGGACATTTTCAAGAATTATACAATAATCTAACAGGAAAGGCAACATGAAACAAATCAACCAGCCAGTAACAATCGTTACTGTAACGACTAGTTAAAAGGTAATTAGAAAAACCAAGGTAAGAGTTAAAGGAGCCACACACTTAGTAAAAACCCAGTGCTCCACATAAAGTCCAAACATTTCTTTAAAATCTGAATCATAACCTTTGGGTCAGGAAGAAAGTGTTGAAAAGGTTTTACTCTGACAAACCAGAGAACTGGCACATAAAGAAAGAAAGAAAAAAAATCCAATCTAGACAGTATGGTCCACATGGTGACTATTTCATAGTACTGCAAGCTGAGCACTTCAGATAAAGATATCACTCTCATAATTTACAACCATTGTAGTATTCTTAAATTAGCTTAATTACATTACAATTGCATCATTAAATAAAGCTTTGTCGATTTAAAGTAACCGTGTTAATTCACTTGTCCAAACAGTCAATAACAAGAACCACAGAGCCACCTGTAATAAACAATTATTAATATGAATAACAGCTTCTTCTACTAATGCTACTTTTCCATACAATATCCTTGACGTGTCCTCTCACGCTTCAATTTCTGGTATTTGGAGATATGAGAGGTTTCATTCTGAAAGGCTCCTGAACAGAGTAAGCAGGGTTTAGTGCATGTAGGAATCAATTCCTACAAGGGAAGTTTCATGACACTACAGCAGAACATCCTCCTGAGGCATAGAACTCAAGCCCAGAGCACACTGACTCAACACTGCCCAACAAACACCAACAGATCCAAATGTTTGGTGTGCCATATCATTGTGTGAATGGTCTAGAAGGTTCTCCCACATTCACACTATTCTAGAATGTTCTCCTCCATTCAGACCGTTTTTTCAGTTCTTATTCTGGAACATGTAAGTTGACTGCCAACAGTAGAATATCAGTGGCTGTGACTCGATCACACTGGCCATTTTTCTCTTAGTGTCAGAATTGGAAATGGATTTCCAGAGTAATTATGGGGGCATCATTTCTTATATTTTCTAGTGAATACCATACACCACTACATTAGCTGAATGTGGACCAAAGTGCACTGCGACTCTCTTGTTAAAGGTGGTCTGAAAACAAAACCTATCAGACACTCTCAACTCTCTGTAGAAACACTGTAAAAAACAGTGATAAAGACTGTTACGTTGCTCACCAAACAGTCTGGTAGCTGCAGGTGGCTGCAGTCATGGATCAAATATTAAATGTATAGCCTAGTTATAATTTTTTTGCTTTTTCCTTGTCTCTGCACTTTTCCAAATGTTACACTCATGTCTAAGGCTACGAATAAGAAGCCAACTTCAGCCTCACATGCCACACATGTCGGTTTGTTTATGTTTAGGTGCTGGTGATTCATGCTTCTGAATCTCTATTTAGTACAAATAGTTCTTGCCCGTATAGTTCTATACTAACGAGGGAGTATTGATCTATTTCAGTCACAGCCCAACATTCTAACGTTGGCGGTTGTTTTAGAGAGTTTGAAAAAAAGGAACCAATTACTCAAATGGACCAGTGTGAGAACATTCTAGAACAGTCTGAAAAGAGAAGAACATTCTAGATTCTCCCAACAATCACAAACAGCTATAGTACACCCGCATTTGGGCTTGCTGGTGTTTTTGGGAACGGAAGTGCCCATGTGGCCGGGTGCACCAGCAGTGCGTAAGTTGAAACACAGGCTAGTTGTAACGTAAGTGTTTACTAAGTTCAGATTTATGTCTTACTAAATCAGAACGGGTTGCACCACACAAACTAGTTTTAACGTTGAGCTTAGTAGTTACTACTTATTTACACCTCTCTCTGAGCAGGTGTAGGTTTTGAGGAAACCATCAGAAACCATGTAGAAAGTACAAAAAAGACCAAGAACATGACTTTTTTTGGTTAACTAAGCTAATAATTCTAAACTCTATATGCTGTGATTTTACTTACAGCTCTAATCGTCAGCCTTGTTTTAACACAGAGCGTGAAGCTAAACACCCACAGCTCCAGCTCAGTGAGACTCAGCAGCTGCCCAAACGGCTAAACTGGGGCTGCTGTTGTGTTGGTTTTCCAGAAGCCATCATTTAAAAAGCTGCATATTTGTTTTTCTCAGGGAAATATTAAATATAAACAGACAGTGGCTACAGACAATTTTATTCAGCTTAACTTGTACACATTGTTCTCTTCTATGCTGGATATTTTTTCCAAATGGCAGCAGGTTTACTGATGAACATGTTTTCGTCATGATGAACATGACGATAACATGTTCTGAACATGTTATTGTCATGTTAAAGTGATGTACGCGCTAGTTAGTTGTTACTAGTTAAGACACGACTTACAGATTTGCGGCGCAACCAAATGTAGTAAAAGGAAGTTGGAAACTAACTAGTGTTAACTAAGCACTTAGTAAAGACGTTATGCCCAAACTTAAGTATAAACCTACGCAAACCTGGTGCAAACCTGGTTTTAAGGAATGTTGGATTGGTGCGCTGCGGGCTTTAGTTCATTGGTGACCCCCCTTTCTCTACAGCTCATGAGGCACATAGCTCACTGCTAGGGTGGGTACTGGTAGACCACATCAAGTGAGACAAAGGGAAGGTCTTAAGGCCGGCCGTTGGCCTTGTCTTTGTCCTGCAGCAGTGCCAGGGTGGTGGTGGAAAAGTCACGCAGCACATGTAGTGTGTCTCGCTGCAGACGCAGAGTGTCCCTGGCAAACTGCTGCTGCGTCTGCACTAGCCGTTGCACCGACTCGGACAGTGACTCAAGGGATCGGGACAGCGTCCCCATCAGCACAGTGGTGGCCTGTTGCTCCTGCAGGCTGAGAGAGGCACTCTTGGCCAGGTGCTCTTGCAGGCTGCCCGGGCCCACTGAGGCTGGTCGGGGTGGCGGGCAAGGTGGCGCTATGTGGGAAGAGGTTCCTGCTTGAGTTGCACTGTTGCTGGAGGCCTGCTGCTGGGATTCAGTTCTGATGCATTCCCTGTCAGCACTAGAGGGTTCATGAAAAGTGGCACTTCCATCAGATTGGCGTCCAGCTTCACTGAATTGGCTTTGGTCTGGGGAGGAAGGATGCAACAGTGTGAGTATCACTGTACATGGATACACAATATATCAGCGGCCAAAGTATTATTTGCTGATAAATGGGAAAATGTAACTATTATTAGCCTAATATAGTAATTAGAGTAGTTTTTATTCTGGCTTTTGCACACATAATGACACATAGTGTCGTTTGAAAGCTCATCACAATTAACTGTGTAACCCAAAGAATGCATGGCAGCAGGCATTAGCAGCTAGCATCTTCAGAGTTTTAACCTGTCTTATACTCATTTCATGTGTGGATTACAGCGTGAACTTTTAATGCAAAATTAAGCTGGTATCAGTCTCTGCTAGGTATGTATTATTAATTATTGTTATCATTAAAATAAATTCTTTACTAATGCATCCAACACAGAAACACGATAAGTCCTATAACATGAGGGTCAAATATCTTTGTCTACAGCTTACCTTCTGTACCTGATGGTTCAAATGGGAAGTCAGTAAGGGGCACTGCAGAGTCATCTATTAAGACAAGTCAAGAACAATTTATGACAATGTAACAGCATAAAATACCATGGAACATAACATGCTACCATCCTCATCCTCATGCACCCCAAAAATAACAAATCATGTGAATTGTGGAGCACTCACTACTGTACATTACATCCAGGGGCAGTGGGGGTGGAGGTAGAACAGGTATGCCCAGTGGCTGGACTGGCAGCCTGCCGTTTGCCACGCTAGGGGAGTCCTGTGACATCCCGAGGGCGCCTTGACTGTCCTCATCTTCATCTGGGAGGTGGTCTGCCATGAGTGCGAATTTATCTGCAGGTGGGGGCATCTGCAGGATCTGATGCACCATGGACTCAATAGGCGAAAGGTCCTGGGCAATGCGGGCAGCTGAAAACCCAGAAGCCCTCATGGCTGCAACTTTGCGCTTGGTGTCACATTTGAGGTCTGACCACTTCTTAATAATTTCAATGATCTCCCTGTGACACTCGCTGATCTCGTTAATGCGAGCCGTCAAGGTGGCCCATGTTCGCTTCTTCACATCACCTGAGACACCCTGGTTAAATTTACCTGTTTGGAGACATGTATCAATGGAACATGATGGACATGACACCTGTATAACATCACTTTGTACGTCTACACACATAAATATCTGTATGCATGCACACTGCATGTGGCAGAAATCTTCAAGGAAAGAAACTGAATTCAATGTGAATATGAACCTTCATACTTACCAACCAGTATGTGGCGATTTTTCTTGACCTCAGTCAGCAGCAGCTGGACTTCAGGGAAGGTGAAGCGTGACTTCCTTTTCTTAAAGCGCACTGAGCCCCCTGCTGACCCACCATATGAATAGGGATAGCCAGACATCTTCCGTCACACAAATCTCTTACTCCCCAAATACACAGACCCCTATAAGAGCATTAGATTGTATTATATGATTTAGGGCCTTCTCCCTTAAATGCCACGCCCATTCAACATTTACCACTGCTGTACATCATCTTAAACAACATGGTTAGAAGTAGCAACATGTGGCAAGCTTCGTTTCTCATTTTCTTACAGTATTGAACATCACTTCATCAGCAGTACGTTACATTCCACCTTAAGAACAGTCCAGAATCAATCCCTGGGCTTGGTGTAAAGAAATGTTATTTGGAGGGGAAAAAACCTGCAAAGTGAGCATATTTTTGCTTTAAGAGATTCCTTACACGATTTTTAAAGACTATACGCTGATCAAAACAAAACAATCTTACAAACATAACGTGAGAATCTGTAAGTATATCTAAATTCTGCCTACAAACTGGGATGTGGATGTGATGAGAAGGAATTAGGCAGTCAGACTTGCTTAGATGTGTGGTCCTCGGATTTAATTTAAGCCACATCAGCTTTCATCACGCAACTGAATTTATTACCAATACGAAAAGAAATCCCCTATTAATGAATGCCATGTGCCTGCTGTGTGTGTGGTGGAGAGGCGGATCCTTAAAAACACAGTCGAAGCTTAGGGAGGATTCAAGCAGACAATGCGACTTTTCCAGGATCGTTTTGCTTTAAATTAAGCGTTACATCTAATTGCTGAGTGATTACACTCACGCATACACACTCGCACACTACACACACGCGCGCGCAGCGCCTCGTCAGGTCTCGCAGTGCTTCCTGCTTCTTTGTTGTGCTCGCTGCGTTGAGGAATATCGAGAAACCGACAAACGCCATCGCAGTCGGGCGCTCGCACAGCTAACCTAGCCTTCACTCAGTCACTGTTCAGTCTTAAAGGTGAACCAGACAGGCAGAGTGATGCTGGGACATATTCGCTGTCCCCGACATGCCGGTCATCTCTGTCGGACACGTACACACTTCAGCTGGGTAACCAGGTTACTGCTAGGGCAGGATCTGTTGTTGTTATTGCCGTGTTCGCAGCTAGCTAGCTAGGATAGCAAGCAAGCAAGGTCCCGAGGCTCCCAACGAACGGGTTTTTACTAAGAGCTCCTTCACGAAATGCTCTTTTTTCGAGACGAATTTTTACTATGGGGATTAAAACAGAGCGTAACAAACTTCCCATTTACCTACATAAACCTTTCGGCGTTGCCGTAATTATCGCCAAATGGACGAATACGCCCTCGGTTTCATGTCCGAAAACTTCGTACAGTCAGAGAGATCCCCCGCGTCGCGCAGACTCAGCTAGCTACGTCATTTTTTCCCTTTATCTGCGCACATTCACCAGCGTAAGTTAACGGCGTTGACATGGACTGCGCGGTCTCCTTGGTTACTGCGCATAAAATAACTGCGCTCTGTAATAGTTTGCGCACTAATTAACGAAATAATTTTGTTGTTAGGAAGGGGTTGAGCCCATGTGACGCTAAAACGTCGTAAGTCTCTGAATGACAGTCTGAGTAATGATAGGTGCTTTAGTACCGAACAGTGTACCTGATTACATTAATAATGACCATGACACTTTGAATTCACGCAGGCTAGCTAGGCGGTTTATAACGGACACAGCAGCTGTTCTGCTATGAATTTAACCGTGATACAAATGTTAGTTATTTAATTATGGGTTGATAGAATATTTTTAAATCCTTTCGCACATTAAATAAAAAGACATAATCATAATAATAACAACAATGATAATAATAATAACAATCATAATATAATAATTTTGATTTCTTCCCAGTATCACTCAAACATTTTTTCGTGCTGTTCACGTATGTGGACACATAAAAAGGTTTTTCATTAAAGGAGCAGTCTGGCAAAAATATTTCGCACACAATTTCGCCCTTCTACCAAATGAAGACGTTTGTTGTCCTAAATTTGCCTCTGTAGTTTTGCACTGGGGCTAATGCAGCCAATAACGAAATTATACCCCACCAATTAGCATCATACAGACTGCGTGCCTAAATCATTACAAATTTGCCTCAGACCATTAAGTTGTTAAGTGATTTCAAATAAACTGGCTTATATGGTGTCTGACCCTGTATAGTACACTGTTATCTTCAAAAATTGCGTGTTCGCAGTTGAAAATAGCCGCAGCTGCCATATTGAAGCCTGAATTTAGCGTGTGGTGGGTTACATCTTCATACATAACAGTATGTCATTCAGTGTAAGAAATAAGCGAGTCTGTTCGACAAAAAAACGTATGATTTGAGGGAAGTACGTAATGATTTAGGCATTCAGTTTGCATAATACTTGGCAGGGTAACATTTTCCACTACATGTTAGCTACATTAGCCTCCATACCTCAGGTTCAAAACTACAGAAGCAAACATCGAACAACAAACATGCTCACAGGCCTCCATTTTGAGCTTGTGCCTCTCATCGCAGGTCAACAGCAGCGTTTGAGTTCACCTTTTCTCCAGCAGATGGGGCTAGCGAGGGTCTGTCAAATCTGCCATAATTACTCAAGGAAGGCAAAGGAGCATGCATTTCTTGGCAGTAGCTATGTACAAACCTACTGCACAATGTGTAGTATTTATTACAAACAAATGCAGAATAATTGTTAAAACACAAATGGAAAGCCACAATGTACAGGCTTAATCAGTTTTGCACTTGTTACACTCAGCCTTTTCTTGGCATGATGCTCTCCACAAGAGTAATTTGAGAATGCACAACAGAACACTAATCTGCATTGAGCTTGACTGTTTCATGCCAGTTCAAAGAGGCACATGTATATAAGCTACTGACACATTTGCTCTGCTATTTGTAGCCAATAAGTAAAGTTTTGACATAGGTTGTCATTAACATGTAGCTACCTTTAATATGCATACATGAAATCAAGTAACAAAGATACTATAAAATACAATGACAAAGCATTTCAAACAGCATCCAAAGAACTGGTTTACACTATAGTAAATGTGCTTAAATGTTTTTATTATTGTTATTATTATTATTATTATTATTATTATTATGGAAAGTTACAAACGTAGAAAATAAATTAATCCAGCTAGGTTAATCTTAACAGACATGGTTACGTATGTTAAACAACATTCTATGGTCAGTTGCTTTCAAAATGAGAGAAAGCCTCGGGGCTGTATTTTGTGTTCCAGATGTGTACACTTGTAAACTTGTTTATCCAATTGCCATCTCTTCTCCATTTTTATCTTGCTATTAGCTTGTTAGCCCTCTGATTGGCCTCATTGATGCGAGACTCGTTGACAATGGCCTACAAAAGAATGGGACAAGAACACAGTTTTAATAGTTCATGTTGCTGGATGGATTACAAATGTTAAAATGGCCTGAATAGGACAATAAATTAAAACAACAATTTTATAAATTAAAACAAAAAGTAAACCTAAAAAAAACACTGACCTTCCCTTGTATGCGCTCAATCTGGATGTTCTGAGTATCAATTTCATTCCGCATGTCAAGTGCCATGCTTCTCAAGTTGCCGAGGATGCTGCCGACCTGGGCCAGATTCTCCTCCATCTCATCCTCTCGGGCATCATTTGTCACTCTGGTGGACACACAAACACACACTGTCAAGTCACTTTGGACCAAAAGTCTGAGTCTTTGTCGTTTTGAAGGAAAGCAACATTCTAGGACCTTCTGATATATCCACCACTCATGGTCATCTTCTCTCTCTCATCAACCACACGGGATGGGGGTTGAGTGGACACCACGCCATCCTGATTATTACCCCACACCTTCTTATAGGCTCCACTTGCCTCAAAGTCTTTCAGCCTGGGAACATTCATGTGACAAGACAGTTAATAAACCTACCAGTCATTTGGTCATCTGCCAGTCTAATTAAGAGTTAAATTCATGACGCTATTCATGACTGACTAATATTTAGTGTTTAGCATAATCTGAAACTTTACTGACTAAGCTTAAAGTGATAAATCAAAAGTACACAATTTGCTTCTTTTTTCTAACACAATATGACTTACTGATACCTATAAAAATTGTAAAAAGTACATCACAGTGCTAAAACAGCAGTTAGCAGCCATCTCGAAGTCTAGATTTTGCCTGTAATATATGTATTTTTATAGATGAAAATGGTATAAACAACATAAACCAGTAAGTTTGAAATTACTTTACACCTTGACACTTTGAGGCAAGTTTAGGCTGATGATTTAGGCATATATTTGCACAGTGCTAAGTAGTAGAATATAAGCTTGCATTAATTGTTAGCTACATTAGCTGCAAAGCTCCAGTACAAAATTAAAAATCAAACTCCAAAAAATGGCTGATTTGGGATAAGAGGAAAAGTGAGTACATTTACTTTTTCATCAAACTACTGCATGTAAAGCTTTCTGGAAGGCATCCAGACATGCAACTGAAGACAGAGATATGGCATACTTATCACAGGAGCACAGGCCGCAGCATTTGCCCATGTCTGTGAGATTTTTCTCAGCTTCCCTCATATCCTGATTGATCTGGTCAAGCCCCTCTTCAATCCGCTCCAGTTGCTCTGAAAAAAAGAAAAAAAATGGTTTCATAGGGTTAAGCATAAACACACTTTTGTCAATATGAAATTAGGGATAGGCAACATGGCAAAGATATAGCATCATTTACTGAGACACTTTTTTGATACAAAATATGCATTTCAATTTTTAGTTTTTCTGAGGTTTAAGTTGGAACAGAGAAAAAAGAAGAGTAAAAAAAAGAGCCACATTTTAAAAAAATAGCACCAAAAAAATGAATACATTAATGAATACTGCACTGCACTATATCTAATTAAACAGGACTAATGTTGCAGTTGGTCAAGAGTTGTGAAATACTGATGATACCATGATATGCTCAGGGAAGCATACGGTGACGCAGTATCATGACAATGATAAATATAATGATATTGCCCACCCCTACGTGAAACTGAATATGAGTCTATGTACACTATATGAGCATACATACAAATATGCAACTGTGAAAAAATGTAACTATGACTATTGAAATACTGAGATATTACTAAGATAATACTAAGTTACTGAGATATTACTAATATAATACTAAGAAGAAACTGAGCATCCTTTTATTATAGAGTTACAAAAATTGTAGCTAGTAAATTAACCAAAAAAGGCTTTCACAAATATAGACGGAGAGAATGATTATGTCTTTACCGCCTTGCTCATCTAGCATGACCAGCGTCTTGATCCCTGCATCTTTGCTCTGTTGAAAACATATTAGAAAGTACATTATATTAAGCAACAAATAAATAAAATGAATCAATATTTGGGAATACTAATGAATATACAATGTGAAAGTAAATTAAACTATACAATAAATGTGTTCAAGCTAATGGACTGTTCCACAATAAAGCGTATAGGTATACTGTTAAAAAATAGTGAGCACTTTAAAAAGATGCTCTGAAGTATCTCTAGTACTTGTCATTTTGTGGGAACATTGACATGAAAACTTCTTGTACAACAAATATGAAGTGTAAAGTAAGTTTGGCCAGCTTTGTGAGTCTTTTGAGTTTAGAAGTCCCTAGATGACTCAACAACCTCCCTGTCAATCAATCACTTCAAAAAACATTAGCAACTCTGTATACACAACTCATTTCTTTGTTCTCAGTAATAATTAAAATGTAATTAAACTATGACGCTTAATGTCATTTTTTACCTGTGTCATTACAGCGCTATGGTATTGACACTGGAAATCATAGAAGTATTATATGCAACAGCAAACTCATTAAACCTAAAGGCTAGACAAAACACATAACTCAGCAACTACAGTGTCACAAAATATGCATAAGTATTCATAGAAACCTTATAAATGGTAAATGTAACTCACTTTACCTAAACGCCGCAAAAAATGCTCACATTTGTTCAACCATCCAGACTTGGCAAGCTATGTCATCATCAGTATTATGTCACTGGAGCATATACTGAGCTACAGACTCAGTTGTCATAATGCGCAATGTGCATATTGTTCAACTCCCAAAGTATCAGAGCACAACCTTATGTCACCTGATACAGACATTATGTCAACTCAACATCAAAGTTGCCAAATGCTCAACTTTTATGATGCCTGTTAGAATAAGCCTTTATAAGTGTTTATGTAGGTTTATGTCATGAAGGGCTTATGTAGGTGTGGTGCTGCTTTATGAACACTGCCCTACAGTAAAGTGTTGCCATATATTCTTGTACTATGGCATGGATAACCACACTGTATGCCTACATGGAGATGAAAGTGTCAGATTTAATATTGTGTGGGGTTGTCCCTAATTACAAAGTGTGTGTGCGCATGTATATGTGTGTTTATAAACATCACAGGTGTTCTTATTTCCAGCAGCGTGGTGTGTGTCTATGGCCAGGGGCTGACACAAAGGATCTATTTTATAGAAAACAAAGAACTGGAGCCATTGCTCATTCACGTCTATTATGGCAACGTGTCTGGATACATAAAACAGCTTTTCACAAGCATGGTAATAAACTCAGAGCACACGCAGAAGGGAAATGCCATTGACGTAGCCTGAGCTCTCTGTTCACTTCAATAAAACCCTGCTTTTGCAAGATAAGGTGGTCAGATACTACATTAAAGTTTGACATAAAAATGAGCCTGTTATTATCAATAATGACCAATAATAATAATGAGTGTCTTCTAGATGAAATTGGAAACACAGTGAAGGAGGACCTCACCTCTTCTAAAAGAAGCCTCATGTTTCTGGTGATCTCTAGTGACTGGAGACAAGAGAAAACAAAAATCAAAACAAAATGGCATGATTTACCATGGATCAAACTGCTTGACTAGGTATAAAAGTACAGTAATCGTCATTAATAGTTTTATTTGTTTCACAGAAACCACCTGTTTAGCTGCTCGCACGGCTCTGTTCATGACGTCTAGCGCTGTTCATGCAGGAGATTACAGAGCATGTCATATTCCCTGCTGAGCAATGAGTGGGGAATAGAGGAGAACTGCAGTAACCTTTACCTAATGGAGCGGCAGAGGTGATGTCACTGCTGCTAGACAAGTCCACTGAACAGTAATAATTGAGACCTGTACACTCACTTATCTCCTAATCATACAGTACAGTAGCAGGGTTAGCTTGGCACTATACTGGATTTTGAAATCAGCTCTATATGACTGCATTTAAACTAGAGCTGGCATCAAAATCCAGTATAGTTGAAGTGCAAACATTTTAAGCACACGAACAACATATTCTTTAACATTTCATTATGCTAACTAGCTACTTCTTTAAAAGCTTCACTCTGTCTTTTATTACAGAAAGCTAACTGGCTAATTGAATCATTAGCCGGTTAGCTTTCTGATGAGCTGCTAAGCCTAACCTTAAGTTGCTCTAGTGAGGGCAGAATATACCCAGTTATAAAGAGAATATGAAGGTAAACTAGTTAAAGAGAGTTTGTTAGCAGCAGCCAGTGATGTTTAACTGCCAGTTAATCATTTATTTGGATTTTATGGTCACGGATTTCAACAATAACAAATAGGTTTTTCAAGGAGTCATAATACATCTCCACTGATCGGAGTGACTATAAGAAGGGTTCCAACCAAAATTTATTGCATCAGCCTCTCGCCTTGTTTTTATCAGACAAAAATGTACCCTGAATGTGTTACGCAAATACATCATACAACCATTAGGAATCTTTACAGCACTAAACAAATCCCGACTGCTAGCCACCGATCTAAAGGCTAAAAAATACATTTGATCGAACACCTCAAGTGGTCATCAAACGTTTTCCTTTGTTAAAGGAATAACTTAGTCAGCTAGTGAACAAAATCTGCCCCCAACACCTACCCAAAGCATTTTCAAAAGCAGTCTTTCAAAATCTATTTCTACTTCTGGAGACATTATCAGAAGGGGTTTTCCAAGGCTTTCAATAAGGAAATCTCACGCTAGATACTACTACAGCACCACTGTAGAAGGTCAGGAGGCATCTGTACAACAGACAGAGCAATAGTTACATTTTTCATTTAGGCCAGAGTGTCTTTTTCCGTTCTTCACATTACTTACATATCTGTTTCATAGTTACAAAATAATTTTTATAAATAAATAAATAATGATAAGTCTTAAGATTGTGTAGTAGGCCTAGGGTTCAGGGCTTAATCCTTAGAAGTTACAGTTATCGCTATCTAATATAGAATTTTGATTTTAAATGTTGTTGGGAGTGCAGATTCTAAACTTTCAGTCGATACATTGTCCATACAGTCTTGTTTTGTGGGAGGAACAAATATTCATGTTTTTGCTATTTCTTGACATAGAAACAGAGAAAAAGTTGTAAGTAAGGACTCAAACCTGTTGATATACAGAAAATAAACACAGAATTTAAAACGAAGATAAATGTAATTCATTGCATGCCTAGCTACGTAATGAAATGTAGTTATGTAATTATGTTTCCATAGTACAATAGTCTAATAGGACAGTACAGTGTAACTTTTAGACCTTTGAAGTTTAAGTGTCTTAGTCTGGCCCACAGTGTGAAAAAACACATTTGACCAGTTTTCAGGTGATGAGCAATGCTGTTCTCATCTCACCGCAAACTTTTTTTCATCATATGATACTTAAAAGTTTTTGCTGGTGGTGTTACCTCATCTGTCACCTGGTTGGCCCTCCTCTGGAGCTCTTCCGCCTCAGATCTCAGGGGGGAGTCGGCAGCCATCTTAGATTCAGTGCTATATGGCAAAATGAAAGAACAAGGGAGGAGAGAAGCATAGTTATTCTTAGACTGGAGACACTGCACCACGGCTTCAGACTGTGAGGTATAATTGGCCTGTTACAACGGATGAAAGCACAGAACACTCGATAAAGTAAACGCTTAAGTAAATAAGACCCCAGCAGGTCTGAACCTACTGCAGTGTCTAGATATACTGCACTCTGCCTCGTGCAGCACAACGGTCATCATTTATTAATTGCAGGGTGAATAACAAATCAAGAATGGTGACAGTGGTAAATTACAGATCATGTTGAACCTTGAATTATTTTGCAACATCTGTTATTGAACTTCAAATGACCAAACACCTTCACCAACAGCACCAAATGCAGAACATTTGCATGAGACAAGAGAGAAACATTAATATCAAATCTATTATTTTTGAGGCAAAAGTAAAATAAATGGTCCTTTATTCAGTGAAAGAAAGTCTGAAAAGCCAGACATTTTGAACAAGTTTGTTCAAGGCAGTTAAGTTGTATTGAAGTACAAGGCTGTATTAAAGAGGCAAAAATGACTGATTAGCTTTCTTGCTTCTTAGTAGTGGTTCCTAAATGATGACAGAAACAGCTCAAGCTCAAATAAACAAACACTACTCATCACTGCCCTCTAAAGATGTCATGGCACCAAGTCAGAACTTAGAACTTTTGTTGTTTTTGTAAGACCCACGATGTTTCATTAAATGTGTTTTGCGTTTTCTTTTATTTACGCTGATCAGCCATAACGCCAAAACCATCTCTGTGTTTCTATACTTATTGTCCATTTTATCAGCTCCACTTACCATATACGTGCACATTCTATAATTACAGACTGTAGTCCATCTTCTGTCTCTCTAAATACTTTGTTAGCTCCCTTTTACCCTGTTCTTTATTGGTCACCACAAAGCAGGTATTAATTGGGTGGTGAGTCATGGTATTAGGATGGTGAAACTCTGTTAGGGAGGGACTCTGATCTAGTGTTTTTGCTTGATGATAGGTGAGTGTGGTGGGAGAGGGAGTTGAAACATGGTATTATTTTCTTTAATATTATTATTCTCTGCCAGCTGGTGAACAGTTCAATCAGAAGATGCTGAATCAGAAAACCTTTTAGAGGTGGGCAAAAAGTCACTACACTTTGATGGAATATTATGGGAAATCAAGAAGTGCATTTACATGCACTCAATAATCCAATCCTAATCAGATTTCTGCAGTTATCTGATTATTCAAATAGTCATGTTAACAGCATTTCTTAGATCAGAATAAGAATCAGATTTCTCAGTGCATGTATACTCTTACTCGGATTTCTTTCGATTTTCTCAGTCTGCGTATGCGTGAAAACAGACCATGGTACTGGAAATAAGCAAGCAGTCTTGCCATGAGATGGCAAAAAAAAACACTTTTGGAGCGACGCTGTGACCAACTACATGGTTGATAAAAAGAATTAAAATATTACTTAATTGATATATATAGCACTAAATATATATATATATATATATATATATATATATATATATATATATATATATATATAAACACTTAAATGTTAATTTAATGTTAATTATATATTAACACTTAAATGAGCACTAAGTTAGGTATTTATTGTAATGTACTGTACTTATTGAAAAGTACTGCACTTTAACTCAGTTTCTTTTTCTCTAGGTATCAACATGGGCTTTTGTTTCTAGCAATATCTGAGCTCAAGACTAGCAAAGGTAATTTCTCGTGGCAGAAAACAAAGCACTTTTTTGTCACTCTGGATAAGAGTGTCTGCTAAACGCTGTAAACAGTAAATGTAAATATTCTTCATCTTCTAGATGATGTATGTTCATATTTTCAAGTAAAGTTGCTCAATGTTTTAAAAAAACGCGACATGAAGTTTTACATTTCATGTCACATCTTCTTATGTTAGTTTTTTGGCTCATTGCAAAGCAGAAATCCATTTACTGCCTGTCTCATGTAGACCCAGAGTTTTCCCATTATGTGATTAGTCAAGTGCATGTGAATGTGTTGATCGGATTACTGATAAAATCTGATTTTCTGCAGTTATCAGATTATTAAGTACAAGTAAACGCACTTAAGAATTTAGTTTTTTAGACAATATAAGAAATTGCGCTTAATATAACCAGGAACATAATTGACAAGATTAAAAAGGTTTCAGTTTTGATATTAAGTCTGCATCACTGGCATCAGGCTTGTAGCTTCATGGCATTCAATTTAAGACTAAAACAATAAGCTTCATTCATCTTAGATCATATGCAGAGCGGGCTATATCACAAAGAAGAGCTGAAGATGCTGTGGTTGAATGCAGGTATAATTACATCCTAATTACAGACTGTCTCTGCCAAGGCAACATGCTGGGAGACACAGCTTGAGCAGAAAAAGGGTCCTGATGCCTATATCACCCAATATAGATTTAAATACCCTCAAATTAAATTTGACATTCTGCATTTCAACCTCATAGTTATCGTTTCATTTAGAATCCAATGTGCTTGACTATAGAGCCAAAACAACCAAAACTGCTTTACTGTGCAATTACTTACTGACTACACTGTTCGTAACATGCAGTGTACATTACAGCAGTTATGTATTGATATAATGCCTACACTTTCTAAACAGGCATATTAAAATAACATGTGGTGTCTTATTTTTAACACATCTGTGTGTCCAGTTAAGGACAACACATTTTGTGTTACTTCTAACACGATGTGGTGTCTTTTTCAGCATGGACAGGCACTGTGTTCACATATGTTTTAATTGGACAGTTTGTGGCACAGATATGATGAGCCTGACGCAAAATGTGTCATAATAGTGCTCAATAGTGAGTGTACTGACTCAACACTGTACTTTTGCAAGTATTTACTCAAATTATGTCCAATACAAAAATGTACTGCTTTTTTTTGCTTCATTGTAAAGAAAGTTACTGAGTCCACAGTGGTGGTCTAAAAAGTTGTCTGAAGAGTTCAATACTTCTAAAAGCAGGAAATGGTTATGACAGAAAATGGTTGTGAATATACCTGAGACATTGAATATTGTAAAGCCAAAATAGCAATACTACCATTATCAACATAATAAAATAGCTATATTGTTACTGTAGACATCTCAACACTTTCTATCAGCTCCACTGCAAAGAAATCTGAGCTGGTGAGTCTCTTTATAATGCACCATTTTACATGAATGACTTTGTTTACATCTCAATGATTGAATTATGCAGAAATTGAGCCTTAAAGTAGATAGATGTACAAGTGTCTATTTATGAAACCATCAATGGACGTTATGAGGCTCAGTGGTGCTATACTTTACAGATAAATTCAATAATGTTTATAACACTGGGCATCTTTTATGTTACCTGGAAATTATTTTGTCTACTGTGCTTTTTATCTGGATCTATATCTATATCCTAACTATCTATATAGTGTACATAGATAAAGATACATAAAATGGCTATAGTTCAATATAAATAGCACTAATATTATATAGCAGAGTACCTTTGCATAAGTCCTGTTTAAATTATTAAAACTTTTTATTTTGGCAGTATGTGTGTTTTTTTGCCAATGAAAACACTAAAAAAGTGGCAAAAAAGTAACTTGATTGTTTTTTTCTTTTTCTACATTTTCTTTGGAATTTATGTGGACACCTTCACTAACACAGATTAATTGTAGGCTACACCTTTTATTCGGCAAATAAAGATTCTGATGTTAATTCTGATTCTCACACGGGGTAGTTGGGTAGGAGATACACAGGAGATACCACGTATGCTGGTGTGCATATGTGTTCAGCCCTTCCATTACTAATCATTTCTTCGTAGTCTGTTTTCCTGTCTAGATGCTGCCATTTCTTCTTTTGGTTTGGATTTGTTTCAGTAAACTTGACTAGGGCATATATGCATTTGCCTCATCCTCCCCCTTATTACAGCTTTAAAGGACAGTGCTTTTGAAACCTGGACTTTTATAATTCTGGACATCTAAGATGACGTTTGTACTGCTGAAACAGCTGGAGATACTGAGCAACCTCCACCCACCTGCTTCACATCTCAGCTAAAGCTTCAGTGATAAAATAAAAACCTATGAGTGCCTGTAGTCTCACTCTGATGTCTTTCTTTTCTCTACAAATGTGACGAAAGCCAAAATATCATTACACTTCAACCGATCAACCAATTTTCCTGTTCAACACACCTGCCAATTGGTCTTCCACTAACATATCTGATGTCAGTGGTGCACACACCCATCAGTTATGAAGCATCTTCTCATGTGTCACCATCAAATCCCTAAACACACCTATTGATTCCCTTCTGAAAAGGGCAAGATGTACTCCTCTGAGTCTACAGCATTCCCCAGGGTATAACAGTCCCCTGTATAATTCATCAGACCGGCTTCCAGACTGGTGGTAAAACCACAGGTGGACTCTTCATATTTCATATTCCTCAAGCAGAGCTTCAGAATCAGGACCAAAACAGAAACGACCACGCTAAACATCACTCTCCTCACACAAAAATCTCCATTTCGCTGAAAATCTAGTTCATTTCGATGTAATTATGATCTTACACATCTATTTGTTGTATAAGGCAAGTGGAAAAACTTTCCCTTTACATGGCAACCCTTCCAATAAACACAGCGGCACAGACTGTCACATGACCAGCTATGCCGTAACATCTGTGCGTAATTCGTATGTGTCGTTAACAGGAATCACACACAGACCGCTACAAAAAAGCTCACACTTTTATAAAGTTGCGAATATGTGGAATTCATACGGACTTACCTCTCGGAAAAAAGGGAAAACTGGATGGCTGTGAAGCTTTCACTTCCTTTACCTGCTCGCTCACACAAAGCAGTTGTTCTCCTGAGCGCTCGAGCACCTGTGTTTGCTCACGAATCTGATTTTAGCATCGTCCACTCACTCAGCTCTGCTCCAGCTCAGGTGAAGCTGAAGCCACGCCCACCCGCCGCGCCGCTCTGCTATTGGGGGCTGTTTTCGTGATGTCTCGACGCAGATTGGTTGTTGAGGCGTCAATCACTGCCAGCGAAGGTCAGACCGCAGTCTGTGGTTGCCCAGTAACGGCTAACTAGTTTCCTCCTCAAAGCCAGCTTTATCTCATACTCCGATCTGTGTTTTAGTCTTATTAACTTAGACTTATTCCTGAATTTATGTATTAACTACATGCATTTATATACATTTATAAATGACATAAATAATAACAGGCTGTTTTATAAATTTAAAAACACCCTACTACTTTCTTAAGCGGCTTAGAAAACGTGTGTGTGTGGGTGTGTGGGTGTACTACTTTCTTTTCACTTTCATAAAGTCACGTGGGCATTATTTGAAATACATTTTTGAGCACTTATCTGTCTTTTAAAGGGGAGCACCACCAAATTTTCAAAACTTGAATAATTGAATAGTTCAGTCATTGAAACATTGTAAATGTTTTGATGTGAAAGATTAATTGCAGAGAAACTGATCGACTCGTATTTCTTTACAGTGGTGGTGATAGGAACCAGGGGTTGCGATGTCTACAATGCAAAATAGCCATTTTATTTACCATTCAAAACCACTACTGAATCTGCATGTGTCTTCTGAGTTTTTATATGTAATGCTAATGATTGCAAAATGAAATAATAATGAAAAAATTAAGCTTTCTTTAGGATTGTTTTGCCTTTCGATGCCCTGCATGTACTTCTCTGCCAAAAATGGACTGCAAAAATATATTTTCGGCTAAAATCTTATCTCAAAACTATCATAAAGCAATGTCCTGGTCCTGGAGTTCCCCTGACCTGCACATTCTAGTGTTTTCCTTGCTGTAATACAAGCATCAGTTGGTTAGTTGGATCAGGCATATATATTTCAGCATATTTTATGGAAAGAGGAGTGGAAGTGTGGCTGTTTCAGTTCCTGATAACAGGAATTGCAGTGAAGTTGGGAGTTAGATGAAATGAAGACATTAAAAATGTAATTAATTATGTGTATCCTGTATAATCTACATTGATTTCCACACACCATAGAAGCTTGCCCTCTTAAGTTTAAGGCTGCGCTAAAACAGATCCCATGGATTTCAAACTGACTGTCCACTCCAGTCCACACCCCATTTCTTCCTTTTATGCTCGTACTCATTGTATGGTTACACACACGATTCTCAAGCCGTACCACTCTAACGGCCGTTCCATTACTCTCATAGCTCTCTTAGACACATACGTAAGGGAGAGATCATAGAGATCGAAATAATTTAATTATTAATTATTAATGCAAATAATTTAAAGAGGGAAATTACAACAGTGTGCGTATACTTATATATTTACTCTGAATGACTGTTTGAATACTGAAATCTAATTAGCTAGTTGAATCTTTTGCTACCAGAGTCCTGCAAGCTGACTGGCTAGTTCTGCCCTGCATTCAACCAGCCAGATTAGAGCTCTCAAACACAAAGATTCAAAGAATTAATCTGTCAACAAAGTTGTCAACAGCCATCTGTAATCTTTAATGTTTTTGTTCACTGTTCTCGTTATTATTTTGGGATATTGAGTCTGGGGTGGCATGGTGGTGCATTGGGTAGCCACAGTCCCATGCTGTCAGGCGAATTGGAGATGCTATATTGCCCCTAGGTGTGAATGTGAGTGTAAATGTGTGCGTGTCAATGTATATGTCTTATGTGTTACACATAACTCATGCGAAGGTATATATTTCTGTTTGTAATATGTTTCCAAATATGTTTGACACATACATAAACATTAAAAATTGACACTACTACATATATTTCATCTACATATGTGCATATAATTCAATATATTGCCATATATTGTGTACATATATTAGCATATATTCAAATATTTAAAAAAAATGCACTGTAAAAATATTTAGATTAACATATCACATCACATATATTACTCGTATTGTTGCTGTCACACAAAAATCTTGAATCTCTGTATCTGTATCTGTATTTTTCTCTTTTTTTTATTTGAAAACTCCACTTCACAGTTTTACACTGTATTAAAATGTCATGATGAACAGACCAATAGAAACGGTCCAAAACTACATGGGAATTTTTCACATTAACTTCCATTACAGGTTAAGTATGTTTTTCCTTCTCCTGTAAAGTTATCATTTTGGAAATAAAATGAAAGACAAGGGATGGTAGATTTTTAATATGAGAAAACATGTGGACATATATTTTTCTTCCATATGAAAATACCTGAATCCACACTCATCTTTTTTGCAGCTTTGTCTCCAACAATATAGACTTTCTGACTACAATCCCATCTTATGACTTCTCATCTTTGCCTTCCTCAGAACACAGGTGTAGAAGAAGTACTTCACTCAAAATGCCTCAAAAAAGTCACAAATTTTGCTTTAATGGAATGTAAACAATTTTAATTCATTTTTTGGTTTTATGCAATCCACAAGCAATGGGAGTGTTTACCAATATCCACTGGGAATGGCTTAATATATTTACAAGATTACTGAATTAACAAATTAAATTCAACTTTATGTAGTCCTGAGATGTGCTGAACTCAAAATAACATTGTTGCACAGAGTTGTACTCCTGTTAGATGGTGTCATTCAACAACAAAACCAACTGTAGGAGCCTTTAGAGTTAAGCATTATGTAAACACAAAGGTGCCCCCTAGTGACAAGACTTTACATGATCTAAATTGACATGACAACATTTGGGCTATCAGGCCTAATTAAGCAACAATAAAAGATTTTTTTTTTTGATGAAGCGAAAAAGTCTGTAAAATCAGAGAGACATTTTCTTATGATGAACTAGTGAAAAAGTATAACATGGAACTGAACAGAGAAGATGTACATTACTCTTGATTTAGGAGTACATAGTCAGCTGCAGCCACTGTGGAAAGAAAGAGAAAAAATTAGAAACTTATATAAAACTTTTTTTAGCAGTGTGTTAAAGAAGCAAGAGGTTAATAAGAGCCTCTGCTGCTACTGTTTACAGATTTATCCAGGTCTATTTGAATATAGCTCACATACCTCTTTAATGTTAACTTTGACAGAACCGCTGTTGTCTTTGTCAAGCGTTTTAAAAGCACCTGCAAATGCATATGTATGTCTTGCATTAAGTCAAGCCCAAAAAAGTATATATTAAATAAGTGATTAAGAATTTGAGACCGCAAGGAAAGCCAACTTACGGCACATTGCGTCCAGTCGCACGAGGCACCCAATGTAGTTGTCAAAGTCCATGTTGCCACTTTCATCACTGTATCTGCGAATGATCATCTGGAAGAGCTGGTCATTGAGAGGAAACCCTGAGGAGAGAGGAGGAAGACCTTTTAATTCCTGCTGATAGTCTAACTGCTGTAGGATTGTGCTCACTTCATAGCACTCAGAGTAGTATGAAGCCTAGTGCTGAAGTAAGTGCCTGCTGTACTAACCTGCTGCTCTGAATGCAGCCGGCAACTCATCAGCCCCGATCGTCCCAGAACGGTCTGCATCATACGTTTTATAGATGCCCTGTACCAGACAGAAGTCAAATTCATTCAATTCTTTGTTATATGTTGAAGTCCTTATACTTTCTTTTGTGACATTCAAGCATAAGGAAACATTTTTAAAGAGCCCACATCCTACATTGTTCTTGTATGTTACTTTTTTCTAGAGGTCCAAGGATGATGTTCATGTGATTTTATGTACCAAAAACAGGTGTAATTCATTTGTACATACCATTTCCCAACCTCTCTTTATCCTTTAGATTAAACAGGCTGTTTTTCTTACTGTGCTTTTAAGACTGATATATGTATATATATATATATATATATATATATACATATATATATATATATATATATATATATATATATATATATATATATATATATGTGTGTGTGTGTGTGTGTGTGTGTGTGTGTAAATGACCTCTATTCTGTTTGGCTGCTCTGTGAACTGTATGTTTTGAAACTTTAACATATTTTATATATTTATATATAAAATCGTTTATATATTGCCTTAAACTCTAAACTCTTTAAAACTACAAGAATTAAAAAATCAATCATCCAGTCAAATACTGGCCTTATCTGGAGAAGTCTTTCATTTACCACTGTTGATTTTATTTGTTGGATAATTTCAGGAGATGATTTTGAACTGTGCTGTCTGCTAAGTCAAACCTAAATAATTTAGGTTAAAAAGAGTAACAGGTCTGATACCTGCCACTTCTTGATATTGTTCCACAGGTACTTGAACTCCTGAAAGCCCAACTTTCCAGAGCTGTCACTCTGTTTGAGAAGAGTTAAGGTAAATAGAAAAAAGGTCTACTTCTGCTATTGCACAGTATTTGCAGTGTGTTGCACAATACCCATCATATGTTTGTCCTCCTCAATTTCTCATGCTCTTATAAAGGATACATCCATCACTGCCACCATGCTCCTGCAAGACTCAATCGAAAAACCATCAGTCTTTAGGTCGTGATCTAGACGTGGGCAAAAGACACAATGTTGAATTTTGTGCCTTATGTCATTCACCATTATCAGCTTATGGCTAGGAGAATTCAGAGTATGATTTAGCAATGAAAAAACATTGAAAAAACATTTGTCAGTTGTGAGTTTGTCCTTTGCAATAGTATCAGCTCTGGCACAGTTGATGCTCAAGCTATGTACACTCACGTTTGGTGAGAATCTTGTTGAGAATGTTCATCAGCTCATTGGCACTCACTTCCATGTCCTGGAATGAGAAGGAAATATTCAAGGTTTAAGATTTGTGAAATAATAGAACAACAATCCAATATAAACTCTGGTTATTTTGTGGTTCAATTGAAATACATTAAATACACACAGATGACTGAAATCTCCTACTAAGTAGCCTAGGACAGTTTATATTATAAGTCATTTCATGATATCTCTTCAAGAGACAGGGACAAGAGAATTACAAGGCACAAAAATGTTCTTGCTTCCAATGAATGAATGAATGAATCAATCAATCAATCCGAAATTAGCATGAATTTGCTGTCATACAAAAACCTAATTTTGTTTCAGTATCTATTTTTTATGCTATTTGATTACTCACACTAACAATCACATTGTTACATTAAAATGTTATAATTAAGGATGTTTATCCTTCTGCTGTAAAGTTAAAGAGATGCAACATAAATACATGCATTAAATTATGTGTCTGTACCCTGAAAACATGTAGGCAATATACCAATATTTCCACATTTAGGAAACATCGCTGAATTTTCCAGCATGATGCATCGGCTTTAATTAAAAACAAAAATATGAAAAAATATGAAAAAAAAAACATGTGCTTTCTTCATGCCCCACACATTACAGACACTCCAAACCCATAAGCCATCACACCAGCCCCACCCATTTTTACAACAAATCCTCCTGAGCCACCTCACATCACAATGGCAGGAATGTGCTAAAGTGGAGGAACCAGTCATGCTCCCTAACCGAGGAATCAGGGAGGATTTACATGTTCAAACCACTCCCTTAGTTTCTGTGTGAAGATCAGGAACTAACCAACAGACCCACAATTGATCTCAGATCAACATATAACAAACATAGTGGAATACATGAAATTCTTTGCCAAAAGGGTGTCGCTAAAAAGCCAGATAAACACTACAAGAACTCTATCTGCCTTATATTTTTCATCAGATATCAGTATCAGTCAAACCGACTGGATTATCAGTTAGATTCAAGGTAACTAGACTAGCCACAAAACATACACTGTTCATAAAACAGCAAATTGCTCTGAGGTTGTATTTATGTGATATGAGAGCAATTGAAAATAAAAAAGGTCTAAACATTTTAATAAGGTTTAAGGGTTTAGTGTTTTAAATCCAGTTTTACACTGTTTTTTGTTGTTGTTGTTTTTTGACTGTTTAAATTGTGGAAAACTGAGCCGTTGACAAAAATGTTATTATTTATTGGTATTGACAGATATAAGTTTTTGGTCATGCTTGTGCAAATGAGTGTGTAATGTACATATTAAATCTGTATCTGCATTTGAAAAATGCATACTTGAGAAATTCTGTGTGTATACAGCGCAAAACAAGTTAAATAAATATTTCCATTGATTTTAAAATCAATTGTATTTATAGGTCTGGTAAAGTTAAAAGTCTTTTTTATATGTAGATTTACAGTAAACTGCTGGCTACTGAGTTGCATTACTTTTGCAGCCATAATGTAAAAGTAAAGGAGATTACTGCATTTTAAATACAGTTTATATTATTTTATGTTATAGTTTAGTAAGTGTACATCACAGTAGGTCTGGCATAAAGGTGAATAAATAACCTATTTTGATCCAATACAGAAGGTCAAACTTGCCTTTACATGCATGGAACTTTGCAGGAAGGATATCTCCTGTGGGCATCTAATGTACCTCTAAACATCTACTGTCAACATGACCAGGCATGCTGATATTTACAATGTAGGACATGAACAATGCACATGACAACAATATAAAACAAAAAGATTGAAGGGCAGGACACCCTATTAAGCCATTCAACTGTACACCGAATTAGCCGGTTACAAGCATGAAGCTAACATGTAAGTTATGTAGTTATGAGAGTGAGGAAGTGATGTGTGGGACCACACAAAGGACTTGAGGGTTAAAGAGGTTAAAGGTCTCTTTAACCTCTGTAGGCCTAGATGTATGAAGTACTTACATCTCCAGCGAGCTGTAGGAAAACTTTGCGAAACTGTCTTTCCTCTTCATTCTCATTCTGCTGAGCCTGACTGTGTACTAGTGGGCTTCTGGCAGGAGGCTGGGATACAGAGTGGGGACACATACTGTGAGAAACAACTACAACTAAGGGTGGTTTGGCAAAGTTTTCCGTTGAGTCGCTTCTCTTTGGAGACATTTTACACAACCATTAATCTGTTACTATAAAGAACGACAATGAAAAAGGAAAATGATGGTAGTAACTTACTGGAGCAGAGGGAGTAAACTGCCCAGGGTCAATATTGCTGTGAAATGTTTGGATAGGAGAAAGAAATGACAAGTACTGTTAAACAGCAGTAAACAGAAGAAACGAGGCAGCAGGTAAATGTTCTGCTACCACTGATCCATAGCAGCCACGGTAAAGGCTGAGAAGTTAAAAGCGAGGTATGCAAACATTAGAAAACTTTGATCTGAAGCATGCTACTAACCTGACAACATCCAGAACCCCTCCTATGAGTTTTTGGGCCAGAAACATGGTGGTTGTGAAGATAAAGGCACGTCTGTAAAGACATTATAATAAGCATTTGTAAGCCTGGAAATGCTTCCCTGGTGAAGTCCCTTCAGTCAACAAACACAGAGCTTTAGAAAAAGAATGCTCTCTACTCACTTCCTGAACACCCAGCATTCTGTTTTAGCCTTTACCTTTTACTGATGCTCGAGTATCAACAGGCTGTTATTTTGACACTCATATGTTACATCGCTGCATTACCTAATTCTAAGCCTCTCCCTGCTGTGGAAGTTTCAGAATAGGATAGACAGTTGAAATAAATCATTAATCTTGCTATGATCATCACAGACAAACATCAGAAACAGGATACAAGAAACCTCAGAGTGGTAGTAACTTTGTAAATGCAAAAGCAAATGCAACGCCTGCACACTTCTTAGTGACATAGTACTCTAACTTCCTTCTCTGCAATGACAACACAAAACAAATCAAAAGCAGCAGTGTAGAGTTTATAAGGTATTTGAACTCAAATGTGAAGCGAGACTTACTAGATCAGACGAGTGAGAGCTCCAGTGGAAAGGAACATGCAAAAAAGTAGGCTGTGAAGTTGTTTCAATGTTAACTAACCCTGCAAAAACCTGCTCTACCAGAACTTGATGGTTAGAGTGCTCCCCGCCCTAAAAAAAGTGCACCGGTAAATCTCAGGGTCCTATAACTATACATATTCACTGTAGTGCAGGTAGAAAGAATGCAGTTTATTACTAGTCTAAATGTGATGAGATTGTCATTTCTGTCAGATTATGATGGGACTGAGGCCTTTTGTTGTGAATCCATGGCTATTTACTGTCTTTTTGAGCTACAAATCTGGGGATAAACAAAACAAGGTGGACAAAATAAAGGAAACACTGCATGAAATGGACTTTTAACTCTGGAGAAGCACAGACAGCTGTGAGTCATACTAGGTTGAATGCCAATTAGCAGTGTGTGTCAGCTATAAAAGAGGTCAGTACTTTGATAAGTGAGTTTTCAAAGCAACCAACAGAGTTCAAAGAGGCCACTTGCAGGTGCACTGCTCATCAGAGCTGGGCAAAATTATTTAAAGTGTCAAGAGCAGCCTTGAAAATGATGGACGTATACTGAACATGGATAAAAAGAGGAACTATGTGCCATACTCTGTAACACCAGTCTCAACCACGATTGCTACAGCTCTAACCACACCCCCCATCACCCACCCCTCCACCTTCTTGTTTTTCTGGGTACACCTGATTCTGTATCTCTAGATGTCTTTATACAAACATCACAGGCAAAAAAGACCACACCCTGCCCAAGAGTCATTTGGAAGGCCTTACCATAAGTTAGTGCCTGCTTTTGTGACTCTACTACACATTCAGCTCTGGATTGTTTGCTATGTTCATTCAGTGCTTTGGCTCTTGCATTCACAGCCCATTTCTGTGTTCTGTGCTGTTACACAGTACCTGCAGCTCTACTTTCAGCAGCAGGGATCGACAGTTAAATGCTAAATACCACAAATCACCAGCCACTCAACAGGTTCAGCACTTCTGTATCCACTCCCAGTGTTAGGGCTGGGCATCTGGGCAATATGGAAAAAAGTAGTATATTACAATTCATGACACACAATATCCATCACAATATTTAGACACACAGACAAAATGTGTCAGTGTCATGTTTAAAAATGCGATCAGAAACTATGAATATAATGACTACCATTCAACCTTTCACATACTGAGCCGCATCCAGTTAAACAGGACTGGCTATGGCCTCTTTGTCGTGAAAAATGCAGCTGTTCTGTGTTCTTTAGGTAGTGACGATATCCACGATATGATCAGTAACGCATACATGTATCACAATGACAAAAATGATCATGATAACAATAAAGAGAGATATAGAGAGAGAGGGTGAAGGCGAGAGAGAGACAGAGAGAGAGAGAGAGAGACAGCTGCACACGAGAAAGAGAGACTGTAAACAAGGCAAATCTACTCCACTGTAAAACAATAAACATTTTAACTCATAAAAGTGAAGTGGCTGTTTTAAAATGCTAAGTTCTCTAAGTCCTTGCTGCATGTAACAGTAGCTTAAGTTAGTTCACTATTTGATTAAATTCAAAGTTAATGAAAGTCAGATTTGTTGACTTTTTAAGTTAAAAAGTCTTGTTTGTTTTTAGGCTAGAAAATTTTTACTGAATGACTATTCGGCTTCTGAAACATATAAAAACTGCAGAAAAATAGTTTTAGCAGGACATTAAAGAGGAGACATAGAAAAGGCTGCTGTAGAGGGAGAGAAACTGCGTAAAGGACTTTAATTATTGGGGAAAAGTAGCAACTGCACATTTCACAGGTTATTTAAAAAAAAATAATTAACCACAGTTCTACCATGAACTGGACTGAGACCCGGATCTTTACATCACCAGAAATCAAATCAAATCAAATCATGCTTTATTGGTCGCACACACAGACATACACTGTTTGTGCAGTGAAATGCCTATATGACTATCTGTTGCTACGAAAAACAGAATATACAACAGAAAATTATGAGCTAGAAAAAAAGAAAGGGAAGAAGAATATAAAATATAAAAACATGGAGATATAATGAAATAAAATTATATGTGTATGTAAAGTGCAGATGTGCTCAGATGTGTTCCCAGCCAAAGCCCTTACAGGAAAGTCTGTACACTCGGTGGCCATCTTTGCAACACCGTCGAGCAGTCATTTCGAGCCGTAGAAGACCAGACTCCTATCTCTTTGAATGGGGAGAGACCTAGATATTCGAAACCGAAGGTCAAATTACCGTTTCAAAGACATATTTGATATCACTGATAAAATCTGACAAAAACTTCATAAACAGTTTGTAGCGTTTGGCTCAATAAGGCACAAAAACCGTCATTTTTCGGGTTGTTCTGGCTACCGCGCTTGCGCAGTTCTCCAAAAGGAGGGCGGGCTTTCCCCGCTCACGGCGTAAACAGCAAGCTGATTGGCTCTGTTTCTTAAAGGGGCGGGACGGTCGCGACATAACCAGCAAGGTGATTGGCACTTTTTCTTGAAAGGTGGGACCTTCTCTGTAAACAGACGCCATGTTGAGCGTTACGAGCGTCCCCTTCCATATTTCAACCAGTGGCCGATCTACTCATTTATAACTTCTCTGGCCCGGCCAGTCTCCCGTGCTAAATGTCGTAAATGTGCATTGGTAGCAATTTTTCTTGCATATTATTATTAATATTATTATTATTATTATTATTATTATTATTATTATTGTTGTTGTTCTTCTTCTTGTTGTTGTTCTTGTTAATGAGCCCCTTGGTCTGTGTTTGTTGTTCACGCGCAGCAGTGTCTGCCTCCTGAGTGACGTCGCCGTGCGTCGCTCTGGACGGGGAAGTGGCGAAGCCCCCCGCCCCCTCCAGCAACACGAGAGGAGAGATGGCAACTGCTGCGACCGACTCTTTATTACGGGCACATCGGAAAACCGTGCTGTTTCGGCTGTTCCTGGGGTTAGCAGTGCTCCCGACGCTGAGCGCCGTGTCCGAGCCGGGGAAATGGATCCTGACTGTGAAGAGCAGCGTGAGTCCCTTTGAACTGCCTTCCTGACATGCGCGCGCACCCGGCTAATGACATTAGCTCGCTAGCTTTCAGTCCCCACAGCAGCTTATTCCAGGGCAACGTTTTCACCTGAAGTGTTGTGTTCTGTGTATTCTGTGACAGTGGGATCAGTGGACGTTTAAGACAGTAATACCAAACCAAGCATTTGTTTCTTGCCGTAAGATTGGCTGAGTTTCTAATGCCAGCTAGCAAGCTAACTTGGTTCACTTGGTTCCCTGTCCACTGAGAACTGTTTAGAAGAAGCCGCTGTTTCATAACTTTTGTTGCTAAATGATTTTAAGCCTTTGACACGAAGAATAACCCACCATTCCTCTCTTTGAAGATGAGCCATGCATGGTTAGAGCAGCCTAGCTAAGTGTCAAAAAAGCTGACTGGTTGGCAGTCATTGCCTACTGGTCTTTCACAATCATAACACTGTAACTTTGCGGTGACCCATATAAATGAAATGTCATTTGCTCTTGATGTATTTTTTATTTTTTTTTTGCTTTACAGAATTCCGAGGAATACTTCCATTTCTCAAAGACAATGTTTAATGACACCTTCATTAAACTCAAATGTAAGTATACAGTGCAGCAGGTCACACTTTCTCTGCTGAGATCGCTCTCAGTGTAGTAGCGCATCTAACTTATGCCATACAAAGTACAAGGTCTCTCTCTCTCTCCCTCCCTCCCTCTCTCTCTCTCTCTCTCTCTCTCTCTCTCTTTTAATCCAACCACTGTTTAACAGGTCTCATCTCAAAATGTATTTTCAGGGCTCAAAGAACAATGCGACCCTCCTGTAAACCTGAGTATTTCATGGTATCTGCGTAGCTCTCGTTGCTATGATGAGGTGTTCGTCCTAGATGTGAGTATGCTGTTTATTTACGTATTACAGGCTGTTTATAAAAGTATTATTAACACTTTTAAAAAGTATGTGCCATCGAGAATCTGTGGCTGTCTCTTCTTTTTTGATAGACTCAAAAGGCGAAAGCATACTTCAACACTGATGCAGTGCATCAGGAGGGTGGTAGTGGTTTCTATGTCTCTCACCAGTACAGTCCGATTGAGTGCCATCAGCCCATGACCAACAATGATGTATGTGGTCCGTTACTAGATTGTTGAAATTTCATTACTATTTTCTGGAAAAAGTTAAAAAGGATTCTTCCTGTAACTGTTGCCTTGCATATTAATAGACACGCATGCCTGGGCTATATCATTACCCAGACTCAAGATGATCTGACTCTTATTTCTTGTTTACTTGTAGCTGGAACTGTCGAGACTTGATAAGCCTGTAGTCCTGAGATCTGAAGAACAACCGGTGAGATGAACCACAGTGTTGTTAACTATTATCTGTACATAATAGAGATCATGCTTTACTCAAACTGACCTCTGAACAAATACTATGTCTTTGTATTGTAGACAACATCAGGCACTTCAGGGAGGAAAAGGAGGGCCTCAGAGGGAGATGAGTCGAATGATAAAGTATTTAATCCATTTTAGTGAAACAGAATATTGAGAAGATGAAAATTTTTTTTAGCAATTCTTAGTCTAAATGTACATTACGTAATCTGAATGTAAAAAGCTGGAGGTGTACTTCATTTAGCAATTTATATAAAGTAATTTGATCCATAGCATCTTTAAATGTTCTTTTTTTTGCAGGTTTTGGTTCCTGCTGCCAAGGAGTCAGGCAAGGATGGGGACAGCAAAGACAAAACTTCAGCACTGGTAAAAGATGAGATGAGTGTGGACAGCTACAACTCTGCAACCTCTCTGGCGTTTCTTCTTTTAGTAAACCGTTTTTTCTCTTGTCATTTCAGATCCCTACACATCATGCGGTGGCACAGACATGGGAGGACAGCCCTTACATGTTTATCATCCGCATTTTTCAAATGAACCCGACTCAAGAGAAAGAGAACTGGGAAATCGAATGTAAGATTCTAAATCTCAGGCGTGACATAGAGGTGACAGTCAGTACATAATGAACTTTAGTTTGCATTAATTTATTATACAGTAATACATTCATTTGTTCACAGTGGAAGTCAGCATGGAGGGGCCGTATCAGTATATCTCAGCGTCTGAGTGGCCTTTGATGATTGTAAGTATAGAAAAATTCACAGCTCTTGCCTGTTAGTGATTATTTGTTATGAGAGCTGCCCGCAAGGACCATTGAAATTTCCTTCAGTTCATATGTATCATAAATACTGTTTTCATTTTTTCAATTTTTTCCTCAGTTTTACATGGTGATGTGCATCATATACGTGGTGCTTGGTGTACTGTGGCTTGCTCTTTCTGCCTGCTACTGGAGAGACTTGTTGCGGATCCAGTTCTGGATTGGCGGGGTCATCTTCTTAGGAATGCTAGAGAAGGCTGTCTATTATGCAGAGTTTCAGAGCATCCGGTATGACGGCCTCTCAGGTAAGTGGAAGAACCTGTCTTTGCAATTAGATCAAGATGACCAACCATATAATTGGAGAACAGCTTGTAGTTGTAGGAGTGTTAGCAGACAGTAATTTTGTTTAATTAAAGGAGTGCCATTTAGTAGATGGCCAGTATTCAACAGTTTATTACACTTGAACAAACAAAGATCAAAGCTGAGTTCATATCAGCAGCGAATCTTGGGGAGATTGGATGAGGAAGGATATCTTGTCACAGTGTTCATTCTCATACAAATTATCTTGATAATCTAGATAATGTAGTTATCTGCTAAGTTTGCTCAATGCTGAATACCAAACACACAATTTTGGGAAATCATTTGTGCTGCCTTTTTGGCTTGTAGCCAAAGTGCAAGAGGTGTTGTAGCCATTTTGCCAAAACAGGCTAACATTTTAACGGATTCAAGATCCATCCCGTTGATCCTGGTAGGCTTTGTTTTTCTTTGTAGTCCAGGGAGCGGTGGTGTTTGCTGAGGTGCTTTCTGCTGTGAAGAGAACTCTGGCTCGAGTACTTGTCATTATTGCCAGCCTTGGTTACGGCATTGTCAAGTGAGTCACTATGATGGCAAACATTAGTTTTTACTGCTACATTTTCAGATTTTTTATTGATATTTTTTATTGATATTTATGGAAAATTGTAAGCTTCTTACTAAAACATATCGGTGAATGTGTTTATTGTTGTAGGCCTAGGCTTGGAGCATTGCTGCACAGGGTGGTGGGAGTAGGACTGCTTTATCTCAGCTTCTCCATTGTAGAGGGGGTCCTTAGAGTCACCTCGGTAAGTCACAGTGCTCTACATCTAGTTCCTGAATATTTATACTTCAGAATTCCACTGAAGGTTAAGTGACCCACCGCATTAATCCTTTACCAGTTTTAGCACAGGTTTAGAAATTCCAAGCAGCCTTTTGCCAACCCCTTCAATTCTATTCTTTTTCCAAATTGAACAATTGGAGGACATTGATGTTATGTTCCTGATAAATTTCCTGAAAGCAAACTTGTCTCTCTCACAGGAGCATGGAGGCTCCAGCAGACAACTGTGTGACATTATTCTGGCTGTCACTGACTCTTGCATTGCGTGGTGGATATCCTTTAATGTGTTATCCACTGAAGTTATGTGATGCTATCATATTTATGTGGAGCCTGTGGAGCCCTGCTGCACAATTGCTGTAATGGGTCCAGCAAGGGGGTATAGCTTACTAATATAGGAACATATTCTTACATAAACACTCATTGCGGTAGCTATGTCTTTATTGCTGGCACTTAACATTTGGGGAAACGGCACGTCAACCCTTTTCCTTTTCAAACTGCCTTCTAAGCTTACTTTGTAACTGCTATCGCTTACCCTATGGCTGGGTTTGCACTATAAGTGTGTGTGTGCACAACCCCTTCTGGTGATGGTATCACGGTGCTACCCTTCCTCTTTTTCTCCTGCTCTTTTTTTCTCTCTACCCGTCTTCTCTGTCCTGCCAGGCTGAAGATGACCTGGTGTTGCTGGCTGCCATCCCACTGGCTGTCCTCGACTCTACCCTCTGCTGGTGGATATCTTGCATTGCACTGTCTGTTTCTCTCTTTTTTTCCCGCCCGTTCACTCCCTACTTTAACGGCTATGTAAAACTTCCTCTGCATATGGGTTGTAAGTTGTTTTTTCTATTCATCTGGCTTTTGCTCTGCTAATTTTGCTTCCCCCTTTTTTTAGCACATTGCTTTAGATAAATGCAACCTTGTTGGCTGTCTACTTATATTCAGTAAGAAGGTGAAAACATGAGTCTGATTTTTCAACATTGCTTTTAGGTACAGGACTGTGCAAAAATCTGAGAATACGTTTTTATGTATTTAATTGCCAGTTAAAAGGATCATTAAGTAAGTTACGCGTTAAAGTTATTGATTTAACATGTGAACATACACTGACCGGCAACCACATTAAAACCACCTCCTTGTTCTACATTCAGTCTATTTTATCAGCTCCACTTACCATATAACTGCACTTTGTAGTTCTACAATTACAGACTGTAGTCTGACTGTTGCTGTGTGTGTGTTAGTGTATGTTGTGCTGGTAGAAGTGGATCAGACACAGCAGTGCTGCTGGAGTTTTTAAACACAGTGTCCACTCACTGTCCACTCTATCAGGCACTCCTCCCCTGTTGGTCCACCTTGCAGGTGTGAAGTCAGAGACAGTAGCTCATCTGTTGCTGCATAGTTTGTGTTGGTCATCCTCTAGTCCTTCATTAGTGGTCACAGGATGATGTTGGCTGGATATTTTTGGTTGGTGGGCTATTCTCAGTCCAGCAGTGACACTGAGGTGTTTAAAAACTCCAGCAGCACCGCTGTGTCTGATCCACTCAGACCATTGCAACACACACTAACACACCACCACCACATCAGTGTCACTGCAGTGCTGAGAATGATCTACCACCCAATTAATACTCTGTGGTGGTCCAGTGGGGGTCCAGACCATTGAAGAACAGGGCAAAAGGGAGCTAACAGTCTTCTTGCTGTAGAATGAATTTGTTCCCAGTCAGACAATTCCCAATTAAAGGGTAATGCCTGATATATTTTAAAAAAATACTTTTCAGCATTCACGATGCCTTAAGCGAAAAACAAATTACCAACTCCAGATATTGTTATATGCCCCCACACGCTCTGATTCTCACATGCTTGACTGACGGTTGTAGACCTGGTCTGAAAAGTCTTTATTTGCTCTGGTGGGGTAGATACTATCTTCTGTTGCTTCCAAAGAGCTCAGAGTTAGACCGATGTCCATAAAACTTTACTTCACACCTCAGATGTCCAGTTTTTGTGTTCTAGTGCAATTCCAAGTGGATTATCTTATATCTCCTCTGAAATATCTTTAGCCATTTAAGATGAATGTTAATTTCTCTTTAAAGGGTAATATAATGTCAGTGACTCTTTTGGGAGCAGCTTTTGTTTGGGAGGACACAGTCGTAGCTCGTTGGTTTTAAGACTGGAAGGATAGAGGAATTAAAGTGGCAGTAGGGTGCAGAAAAATAAAAGAGTGAACAAATGAAATACGTATAATTTGATATTATACTTAGTCTTGGAGGCTTTTATGTAATTGTTCTTGCACTGAAAGTGAAATTCTATTTAATGGCCGTTTTGACTGGAAATTAAATAAATGGAAAGGGTGGTCTTGGACTTTTGCACAATACTGTAATAAGAGGTAATTTATTGTCCAGAATCAGAAGTTGAATCAACTCAGTCATTCCTTGCATCTTACCACAGATCTATTAAACTCTTTGCTTATCTTGACACTTGCCATAGCTCCCAAAACTACTGGCTGCTGCTAAGCCATGCCAGAAAAAAATAATAGTGGTTTGTGAATGTCTTTTTTCAGCTATGTGTTGTAAATAAATGTGAATATTTTAAGTTAGGTTATCTGTCAACTAATGCTTTAGTCCTTGACATTGAATTACATCTTCATAAGCCTGGCACAGACCATGAAACTTCTGCGGCTTAGGAGAAACGTGGTGAAGCTTTCCCTTTACCGCCACTTCACCAACACCCTCATATTTGCTGTCATAGGTAAACATCTATGGAAACATTATAGACTTACTCTTTTACTCTATATTGGAATCATTATGAAGAGAAGTTTATTTATTTATTTGTTTACTTACTTACTTATCTACCTACTAACTACATTTCAGCTTCTGTCATTTTCATTATTTGGACAACAAAGACCTTCAGGTTATCTAAATGCCAGTCTGTGAGTATGATTTATTTCATTTTGTTTAACAAGCAGTGAAATTAAACATTAATTAAACCTACACTGTTCTTACAAAAAATGCTTCCTGTCCTCTGTAGGATTGGAGGGAGTTGTGGATAGATGATGCTTTCTGGCGTTTCCTCTTCTCTACTATCCTGCTAGTCATCATGTTCCTATGGAGACCATCTGCCAACAATCAGAGGTGGGGACACTCAACACTTCCAAGTAACAACAGTTCCAAGGAACCACTTATCAGGCTTTTATTCTGTTCTCTTGCTGTCTCCCCTAAGACTGGAAAGTATGGAGCACTATTCTCAAACCACTTAAGCCACTTTCTACATCTTAAGTTAAAACCAGAGCACATTTTTTGTATCATATTTCACTTCTGTCATATTAAGTTGTTCAGGCCAAGGTAAAATTTCCAAACATCTTAGTATCTTAAAAGTATTTTAGAGAATACATACATAGAGCATTTCAGGGGTCATCAGACAGATTTGACCTGCAGCCACATTCTCACAGATCAAATACTCTTTGGGCCAGGTTTCCAATGCCCCCCCCCACCCCGGTATGAACCCCACACTAGGTTAAGCTAAAGAAGGATTCACAGTAAAACCGCATGATAAACAGTAAAGAAAATGAATGAGTCTTACAAGTTTCAGATGTCCGTGTTTACGGCAAAGTTAAGAAGATATTAAGCCCATTGGAACAGTGAATAGACACTGCAGTTAGCTTGGTGCTAACCTGACATTTCATTCCATAGAGGCACTCTCAGACATTGTCTTTGAGGTGGTACAAATGCGGAAAACTGATGCTGATGACAATCTGTAAAGAATAGATCTAGAAATATGTATATTGTGCCATCTTTCCAAAATGCTAAGCCAACCTTTCTGTGTATAACACGGCTTTGTTGTGACAGCTACACAGTCTTAGTAATGGCTTTCTCTGGGCTCATTCACACCTGGATGCACCTTAACTTATACATCTAAGTAGTCATGATTGGATACTCATAATCCAATTAGGTATGCATTTTAGTGCAAGCTATAAATAGTGTCGTAGACAGCTGCATGCTGCATGTCAATCATGCTGCCTTATTTATGTTTCAAAAGCAAAACATAAAGTGTTTCTGCATTTGATGTTTCTCTTTTTTAAAAAGAATTGTGTAGAGAACCTTTGAAGCCCTGTGCTTCACTCTTATAAAAGACTGGCAAAATAATCAGTGTGATATTAACTCTTAAGTAAAAGACAGCTGTTCTGATGGTGAATGTAATAATACATCTAAGAATTACTTATGGGAGTTCATTCTAAACCCTCCAGGTATGCCTTCAGCCCACTGGTGGATGAGGTTAGTGATGAGGAGGAAGCGGAGCAACTAATGAATGAAGCCTTTGGTAAGAATCAAAACATATTTCTGTCTTTAGCATGCCATAGAATATCTCTGCTTGTACTTTATTAGCTTTCTAGATTAAATTGAATTGTGAAGTGAATTTCTCCATTGGCTGAAGTGTCAATGATATCAAGCAGTCTCTTGTTTATTTTTCTAATTTTGGTTATTTTAGTGGTCATTAACTCTTAACTGATATTCTGTAATTTACAGAAGGTGTGAAAATGAGGGGTATTAAATCAGAGGCCAATGGAAGTGCGAAGCCTAATAAAGTGGTAAGAGACTTCCTGTGTAAGAAAAAATAAACCCACATCTTAACTGAGGTAAACAACAGCTTAAGTATCTGAGCCACTCAGATTGAGAACACTTGGCATTTGTATGCTGAGCCACTGTAAATTAAATTAAAACTGTGTCAGTCACATATAGAACTGTGCAAAGGTTTTAGGGACCCGAGAAGAATTACATTTAAAAAGCTGTTTATCTGGGCAGTCATCATTTATTTGTCCAGAAAGAAACATTAATATTAAACAGTACATACAAATAATATTGGGACAATAAGTAGTGATTTTACATGTCAGTGTGTTTGTTTAACCATTTCCATTTCCAAACATCTCTATTTGGCAGCTCAGTATTACTAGTAGTCATCATCCAATACCTGGTTTAGCAAATAAATACTTAATTATGTTAAATCAAGTGTGCTGATAATAATAATTTAACAAATCCATGAGGTGGCTGGGGACACCTGGAAACAAACTTTGTTTTTGAGTCTAGCTCACAACATATCAACTACTTTTTTAAGAACAAATCATTCTTGTTACTTTTACTGGATATATGTTTGTTTGCATATATTCTTAAAACACTGCTGAGATAAATGGTTTTAAAAAATGGGCTTATATGTAGGTACACTATATGGAAAAAAGTATTGGGACACCTACACATTACACCTATAGGAGCTTTTATGACATCCCATTCTAAATATGCAGTTGGTCCCCCCTTTACAGCTTTACAGCTAAACTTCACAGTTGCCACATTGCAGTCAGACAGGTAACGTTCTCCTGGCATTCGCCAAACCCAGACTCGTCCATCAGTCTGCCAGATAGAGAAGCGTGATTCATCACTCCACAGAATACGTTTCCTCTGCTCTAGAGTCCAGTGGCGGTGTGCTTTACACCACTGTATCTGATGCTCGGCATTGTACTTGGTGATGTAAGGCCTGCATGCCGCTGCTCAGCCATGGAAACCCATGCCATGAAGCTCCCGGCACAGCTTCTGTGCTTTTGTTAGTGCTAGAGGAGGTTTGGCACTCCCGTTACTGAGTCAGTAGAGCGTTGGCGACTTTGATGCACTATGTGCCTCAGCACTCAGCGACCTGCTCTGTAACTTTATATAGTCTGACACTTCATGGCTGAGCTGCTGTGGTTACTAAACGCTTCCTCAATAATACCACTCACAGTTGTTTGTAGAATATCTAGGAAGGAAGAAATTTTGCAAACTGACTTATGCAACAGTAGCATGCTCAAATTCAGTGAGCTCTTTAGAACAACCCACTTTTTCACAAATGTTTGTAATGGCAGACTGCATGGCTAGGTGATTTATACACCTGTGGCAGTGCAACTGAATGAAACACCTGAACTCAGTGATTAAGAGGTGTGTACCAATACGTTTGTCCATATAGTGTATGTATGTGTGCGTGTGCATGGGTTGTGGCCTTCTCAAATATTGGCACCCTTGGAAAACATGAGCAAAACGCAAAAAGAGAATATAATAAAAACATTCTTCGTTGCTTATCCTTTTGGCCTTGAGTTCAAAATATTAACAAATATTTGAAGTACAATGATTGGATTGAAAGAAAATAACTAAATCTTATTATGAAGTAAATATTTTCTTCAAATTCATTTGTGCTGTAGTTGTTGGTACCACTTCATTTAATACTTTGTGCAGCCTCTCTTTGTGAAGATAACAGCTCTGAGTCTTCTTTCATAATGCTTAATGGGACTGGAGAACGTATGGCAAAAGAACCAAGACCATTCCACCACACAGAAACTCTCCAGATCCTTCACTTTCTGAGGTCCACACTGTGAACTGTCCTCCTCAGCTCATTCTACAGGTTTCCTATGGGGTTTAGGTCAGGCGACTGGGATGGCAATGGCAAAACTTCTGTGGCCAGTGAACCATTTTTCTGTTGATTTTGAAGTTTGCTTTGGATCACTGTCCTGCTGGAAGATTCAGTCACGACCCAGTTTAACCTTCCTGGCTGAGGCAGTATGGTTTTGATTTAATATTTGCTGGCACTTAATGGAGTCCATGATACCATGTGTCCGAACAAGTTGTCTAGGGCTTTTGGAAGAAAAACAGCCCAATGACATCACAAATTGACCTCCATACTTCATGGCAGTGATGAGGTACTTTTCAGTCTGGCTACACCAAACCCATGTCTGGTGTTTACTGCCAAAATGCTTAACTTTGGTTTCATCTGACCGTAGAACATAGTCCCACTGAAAGTTTCAGTAACACCTAGTAAACTGTAGGCGCTTGAATTTATTGTTTTCGTTTGGCAACCCTGACAAACAACTTGTGGCTGTGTAGGTGGTGTCTGATTGTAGTTTGGGAGACATTCTGACCCCAAGACCCAACTAATGTTTGCAATTCCCCAGCTGTGATCCTGTGATCCTTTGGCCACTCTAACCATCCTCGTCACTGTGTGTGGAGTAAATATAGACATATGTCCTCTTCTGGGCAGATTCTTAACATCTCCAATTGCTTTAAACTTTTTAATTATTGGGCATTTTTCAGCTGTTTAGCAGCCATTTACTGATTTGTGCAGCTTTGTGCCTTTTGCGGCACATCATTGCCATGTTCACTGGTCTTTCCCATAGTGGACTGTATGTCACCTCATCAGTCGAATATTTAGATGTTTAGAACGATTTTAGAGCAGCATGAAAGACTTGCTCCACTTGGCAACAACTGCTGCTTTTTAATGGCTCACTCTGATCAGCTTTGCTGTGAGCAGCTCTCAGCGACTCAAGATGAGCTGACCATGATGAGCAACCACTTGTACAAACTGCAATGCCACTTGGTTTAATAAATGCTATAGATGAAAACATGCATGCCAGTATATCACAGTAACACTGTTACAATATGATGCTTCGTCTGATCCAGTGCATTTTGATTAAAACTGCAACTTTGGTTCTGATTATTACTTACATGTAGATTATGAATATTGTCAGAAAAATAACCTATGGTTTCTTCAGGATGAAGATCTGAAATGGGTTGAAGAAAACATTCCCTCTTCAATAGCTGACGTGTAAGTCTTGTGACGACAGCGATGATGTCATTGAAATGATTTCGGTTATAAACAGTAATACCAAATCACTCATTATCAGTGTGCCACAAACCACACATTAGTACTGTACGTTTTATAGTCAAATGGTAATTGTTTACCTGGGTGTTAGTTGTCTTTTTTACATTCCACATACATATAAGTTCTTCTCCTTCTTTGTCTTGTAGTGCACTGCCCCCTCTGTTGGACTCCGATGAGGTAGGTTATACAAGTTATTTGCTTTTTTTGTGTAATACCATGAGTGGCCATAAGTGGGCGATCTCCGAGTTCTTAAAGTAGAGCATGAAGAGATCAGCCAGTCACGTCACACTGTTTATCCTTGCTCTCTCCCTTTCGGTTGTTTTCTTTCTGCCTGGAACAATGGGAGCACAGAGGCTTTGGAGCTTTTGTCTGACTAATAAGAGCACTCTTAAGCTTGCCTTGGAGACGCGCGTTTGCTATCACAGCCAAAGTAGACTTACCTCTCAGAAGAGGAAAGCGGACATTAAACAGTGCTGATAGATACAGTGTTTAGGAAACAACAAAATAGTGTTAATGCAACAGTCCTGCACATGTAGAGGATATAATTCCAAAGGCAGTTTTATATACATAAAATATATATAGCCAGGGTTTATATATGTCCTGTCATATTTCCATCATTGTTTGCAGGAAACCATGACGACAAAGTTTGAGATGTCAAAAATGGAATAGAGCCACAATATGTGTACATATTGTAAATATTACCAATGTCTGTGACTAGTTGTTTTAACGAAATATAAGCTTTGTAAGCGATGGATGTAAATACGTGTGATGTTGATAATGAGGGGTAAGAAACCGAATGATTTTTATTTGTATTGCCTGTATTGCCTGTTTGTATTTATATTTTCACTGGAATGGTGTCGGTTTCTTTAACACAAACTATAATATCGCCTTTTTGTTTGACATTTGTTTACATATCTGAAATGCGAAATGTGATTAAAAAAACACTAGTCTAAACTTCTTAAAAAAATATCTTTTGTGCAGCAGTTTTCATCTTTAACATACAGATAAAGCCAAAAAACTATTTCCCAACCTGTTGTCACCTGTTTTGAGTTAAAATGCCTTTAAGTCTAGCTGGTTTGACACCCATTGAACAGACTGCCTCTCAAGAGAATATTATCTAAAATGAGTTTAATGATTCGTGCATTATAGTCAATGCACACTCTGCCTCCGGGCATCCGAGAATGACAACAGTGGAAAAATTGGGTTACATATTGTTGTTGTTTTTTTATTATTTAAAAATTGAATGTCTGAGTTTGTTGCTCTCAAAAATTACCTCAAAATGGAAATTCTCTATCAAAATGTGCATTGTGACTGAATTCTCTGTCAATTCAATACTAGTATTATTGACACATATGTATTCTAATTTATAGCAGTCATTTGACAGACTGCTTAGTGTTTTGCCTTTTGTTTGATTGGTTGGTCCTGGGTTGTATATCTGTATGTAAATCTATGGATTAAATCTGTAGAGGAAAGTAGGTAATTTAGGGCAAGAGGTGTTGATGTAACAAAACATCAACATTCCAGACTCAGTGAAGTTCATCCAGCTTTCAGCTGTCAATATAAATTGATTTTCTTCTAAGGCTACATTCATTATGCATCAGTCTGCATTATTTGCCAATACTGTAGCAGTCAACCTCTGTCCTTTTTTGTCCCGTTAAAGCCGTTTTTTATTTTTGACCTTTCTTACTCAGTTCATCAGTTATGGCTTTTTCAGCAAGTTGCTGGGATTTCTGTCTCAATACCTGTTGATAACCACAATTTAGTTATTTTAGTCATTTTAAGGCCTGTCATATTAGTAATAATATCCTGGAAAATTACATAAACACACAACAGAGTTGTGGTTGTCAAGGATGATGCAATCATATGCATCTCAGCTGAATACTAACATGGTGGTAAAGTGAGAGATCAGCTTGCAGTCAGACAACATTGCTGTTAAAGAGTTCCATTTATGTAATCCAGTAGGAAATAACATCTGCTATTAACATCTGTAATGTTTACAATTAGTCTCTTACATAACAGGAGCTTGTATTACCAAGATTAGACCTTCAACGCTGTATGGAATTTATTTATTTATTTATTTTATTTTATTTTATATATAAAAACTAAAATTTGCCACTTCACTGGTATTGGCTACAATGGTTGATGCTGTGATAACTATCCATTTATGTTTGTTGTTTTTTTTTTTTGGAAATTGCACATCTGATCAACAGTTTTCTGTGTAAAGATAAATCTTACAAGAAAGCCAAGTGAGTGACATACGATTTCATTGTGGTTTATTCATGTACACAAGATAACAGTCTAAAAACAAACACAGAGATTAGAGCACATTCCGCATTGAATTCACAATTAGGGGCAGTCTGGAGTTATCTCAAATGTGTATGTATCACATTGATATATCTAGTGAAAGGAAAACTACAAACAGAATGGCAATTAATATAAAACTAACAGTCTTTATGATCACAGCAGATCGCTGAGATTAACAATTCAAAGGAATGTCATTTTTGACAATATAAAATCTCACTAGAAGACAAGCAAAACATTTACAGTGATGGAATGGTAGCAAGAATGCGCTGATTGATGACTGAATTATTGCTTTTCGAGTATTTTTTTTAGCTATATGGATTGCATTTCTCACCATGGTGAATCGTGACGTAAACGTGTGATTACTCCTTTTTTTTGGGGGGGGGGCAAAGCTCCTCGCTGAACGAATCCCATGCAGATCTAATCCTCTTTGTGTAGCGTCACACGTTTCCCGCCTTTTTTTCTGGTGAACGATAACAGAGAAGATTAAATATATTACAATATATAGTCAAATATAACATTCATTTTAATTTTGCACATATTTTGTTACAGATTAATAATACATTTTCTGTAATATTTTAGTGTTTGACTAGAAATAATGCCACAATAAGGACCATCAAATACTACACATTGCACCATATTTCAAAATGTAGACACAAACTTTTGAAATAAAATAACTCTTGTAAGCAGTGCTAGGCCTACACAAAAATACATGCTAAGTATCTTTAGTTTGGTCAATTGTGATATTTAGGGATATGTTCCACCGAACATAAAACATAACTGGCACTGGGAAAACACCTCTGCTTTCTTTCTCCATAATAAAAACAACACAAACCAGCAATTAAACAAGAATGTGGAATGCGGGTCAGTTGGACTATAACAGGTCAATGGATTTTGACACTTGTCCATTGGCACAACAGTTTTCCGATCATTGCCAGGAAGAAATCGGCACCCGAGATCAATAAATAAAGGGCCCCCTAATTTATTAACTGCCTAATGACAGTAACCAACATCAATTTCTGTGTAACTGCCATTGTTTGTTGCTTGAGAGCATTTCACTCTACTGTCCAGGAGGTCCTTCTCCTTGGCTAACTGCTCAGTGGCTGCTGACACTGCAGTTCGAACGATGGAAGTTGCAGCCTCATACAACATCCTCTTCAGGGCCTCATCTGGGTCATCTGGCACATCACTGGTCTTTGTTGACTCAGAAAAGGACCCTCCATTTTGAGGACCCCTGTATACCTCGGTCTCTAACTCAACACTAGCACCTAGTCCTACTAAAGACTCTGCCTTGCCAACTCCCTTTTCTTGGAGGTCACTGGAGTCAATTTCTGCTTCAAACTCACCGCTTTGGGCAACTGCTTTTCCAGTGCCGCACTTCCCATCTTGATTCAGGATCTTCCCATCCTTTGGACAAGTTTTGTCACTAGAGTTGATGTCCTCCTGGTTGGTCTCTTCTGTCTTTCCATCGTCATTCTGGACAGGAGGCTCATGATTGTGTGCTGTGGTGTCCTCTGATGCAGCATCTGAACATCCATTCTCACCATTGGTCTTGGGTTCCACTGTTGGCTCTGTCTGGCCTCCTCCCTCTGATGCTAAGTGAGGCATGTCTGACTGTTGACCAGATGGTATGCTTGGTAGGGACTTCTCCTCTCCATCAGCGCTCTTGTGCTCGTCTGCCACCTGAGCTCCGTTGTCGCTCCCACTCTGTGTGGCAGCCTGGTCCTCTGATCCACCCTGTGGGAGGTCAGCTGACCCAGCTGTGTCTGCAGGGCCATCCGTTTCTTTAGCTTCCCCTTCGCCCTCTTTCTGTACTGCTGTGCCCTCCCCCATATCCATGCTAGCACTCTTCCCCTTGCGCAGTATGAAATTCTTTAGTGACACAGCACGGTTGAAATGTGTCCTTTTAGACTTGGCAGTCTTGCTTGAGTCTTTACCCGCCTGTGGTTCGTCAGTCTGTTCTTGTTCACCCGCTGGTTCCTCCTCTCCTCCACTCGCGTCTGCTGCTTTCTTTGACTTGGGAATTACTCGTTTTTTAAACGAGGTCCAGATCTCGTTTGCATGCTGATCCACAAACTTTGCCCGTGTTGTAGCAGCACTTGCCCCTTTCTCTTCTTCTCCCTCTGCACTGGCCTTCTCTTGATTTTCTTCATCGCCTTCAGACACTCGTGTGGCCCCCTGCTCTCCCTCTGGGGCATTTTCATCTTTCAGGTTATCTGAAGAGTCTTTATCCTTTGGTTTGTGGATCCCAACAATGGATGGATCTCTCTTCAGACCTTGAAATGTCCACGACCTCTTCAGTTTCCATCTTTTTTGCCCGGTGTGCTCTGACTTTGTAGTTGAGTCCAGGGTCCCAGTGTCCCCTGGTGCATCTGCACTGACACCCTCTGCTCCTTCCACATCTTTGGAGTCATCAGTGCTTTTTTTGTGGCTCTTCTGTGCCATAAGCTTCTTAAAGGAGTGCCAGCGTTTCATGTGTTTTGTACTTTGGGAGGTTGACTTGTCTGGCTCCTCTGGTGCCTGTGGGTCCTCAATTTGATCCACCACAACTGTGTTGGCATCAGCATCCTCCAGTCTGTCAAGAGATTTTGACCGAACCTTCCCATGTTTTTGAACCTCCCCTGTACCATCCTTTTTCTCTGTGCTTCTGTGGGAGAAAATCCTGGCAACAGGCTTGCGGATGAAATCACGTACACTGGACTTTTCTCCTTGCTTTGGCTTGGCACCAGGCATCTTCTGCTCTTGGACGACCTCCTCATTTTCTGGTACTTTTTCAATAGCTTGACCTTCGGGTGCAGTTTCACCTGCCTCTGCCGACTGACTAGCTGGCTGTACCTTAGGATCTGCTGCATCACCTTGATCACTCTGGTTTGTGGCAGTGGCCTTATCTGGCTCTTCCCCAGCAGCATCCTCAGCTACTGTACTATGTTCTTTTTTCTTCTTCCCTCCCATTACTTTTCCAAGCCCACTTTTGTTCAGAAAAGAGTCCCAGATTTTCTCTGAGGCTGGCTTGACTTTGTCTGCTGGTTGCTCCGTGCTTTGGGGCGCCTCAGTGGTAGGCTGTGTTTCCTCAGTTGGAGCAGGGGTTGACTCCACATTTGCAGGCTCCTCCTCAGCTTTGGTCTCCACGGTGTCCGCTTGGACAGGCTCCGTGTTAGCCTCTGTTGCTGCCATATCAAAAAAAAGTGCTCTTTGATCTCCTTCCCTTAAACACTGTCTTGTTCTCTTGTATTCTTTATGGAACCGAGTTCATTGATGACCAGCAGTGTTTGATAGTATTCCCACAAGAAATAATGAATTCTGCATCATATTCCGTGTGGAGAAGAGTGGCCTCAAATCTAGAATGAGAAAAGTAAGAGGATGTTTAATTAAAACATTCACAGATGCTGCACTTTCCCCCTTTCTAACGGAGAGGGCAACCATAGATGCTTTTCATATGCATTTTCAAAATTGCAGTTCGAAGACAACTTTAGTGGGATGACAGATTTAGTAATCTCAAATAATAAATGCATGTATGCGCAAAGGGTAAATAAATCACGATGATTTGTGTGGAGTGGAAATGGAGGACGCTCCTGATAATCTAATGAGAGGCTTGACTCCTGTCACCTATGTTTGGGGCACTGCTACTCAGATAAGTGGATCAGTGATTTTGTTTAGTAATCAGCACTGGTTGAGAGGTTTATTGCTGGTGCACACTATCCTTTCAGAACTCAGCTCACATGCCTGACAGTAGTAGAACAACAGCAAATGGGATGACAGTGAATTTTCCATAAACCAGCTTGTGAAATTACCCAGCATGCTACAACTTAGAAAACATTCACAAAGGGAGAGCTGCACGCTTAAATGAATTTAAAGCATTTATGTTGTGTTAACTGGGTAGAAATGGGAAATGTTAAAACAGTCCTTTACACCACTGACAATGGGACTCCTTATTAAAAACTCTTCACCCGCGGTCAACTTTAACTCCTCCTCAAAACTGGGCTTGTTTTTCTCGTTTTTTAAAGCATGTAGCTCGATTATCTGTTATTCGCTGTGTAGCTCGAACCCGTTTTCTTTGAAACACCCTTTGAGGATTGGAAATTATTCACATTTCCCTTTGCATCTGGGTCTGTTTTGCTGCGGTGGGATGCACCTCATGATAGACACATAGGCCAAGGGTGTCCACATCCACGCAAGCTTGCACCTGCATATGCAGCTTCAACTGGCACCCCGAGAACGTCCAGTGTGACCCACACGACTCGTTCGTGGCCCTGCTGGGAGCGCGGTGCAGGGGCACGTTTTGATTGGACCGCGCAGTGTCTTTACGCGTGGCGTCGAGTCCGTTTGCTCGCCCGCCGTCCTACAGCCATGGGGACAATCGAGCCTGGACGGTTTTGTCCTCTCTCTCTCCATAGACGAGCCCCCCTCCCTCGCCCTTTGTTATGCTAAAGCGAGCAGAGAGCGCGGGAGACGTCTGGAGAGGCTCCCGCCATAGAGCTCAACTGTGGGCTTCAAACCTCGCGTCTGTAGAAGTAGAGCGTAATTCTAATGAGCGGAGAATAAAAAAGGCAATGCAAATGCCCGAAGACAGCAGGTGTCCGTGCTTTTCAGAAGCTCATTTGCATTGCTAATGAGCAATGACATTTTTGCATTTTGCAAAAAAAAAAAAAAATGTCTGCGTTTGATATAAACAATGCTGTTGTGCAAATGGGCTGCTTAAGGCGTTTAAATGAGCGCCGCGGAACGAGCAACTTTGCCCAAACGTATGGAAAGGACAATGAGTCATGCTTGTGTTGCGTCTGGAAAAACATCCTGAACAATGGGGGCAGATGCGTAACTGTGGATTCATAATTGAAGCGGTTCACTCTGGGCAAATACTCATCAGAAAGACTGATTCTAATAATCTAAAATACAGAATTATGCGGAAATCTTTGTGTTTGGAGCGCAGTGTCCCCGTTAGACGTGCGCAAAGACAGCGGTTGGAATAGGAAAATCAACATGCAGCGGGAAAACAGCAAGCGGAGCGCCACACGAGCGGCAGGGAGCGCGGCGTGTTGTGGTAAAGCCACCGATTAGGCTCCGTTCTCGAAATCTCTGCTGCGGCTGAGCAGTCCCCGCCGCTTATACGGCAAAACAGACCGTCGTTTTTGACGCAAATGAGAAATAGAAACGCATATTCATTCATGTTTTCCCTCGTATCTGCGTTCACACTCGAGTGAGTCTGATTACAATGCGCTCGAAGACAGTCTGGCGCGTTTTGGCCGAAGTTGATGGAATGATTGGAGCCGTCTGTTCGGCCGAACAAAGCCATAAAACAGACGGAGGCGCTTCCAAACCGAAAAGATGTGAGCCAGCAATGACGGTGAATTTCCCCAGAGCTGATGGCCATGCATCCAACCAACAGGACGCATTCGTTCATCTCCATCCATCTAAATCTCCACACTTTCACCTCACATCAGCCAGGAATAAAAAAAAAACAGCTCTGTTGCACAAACCTGACACCAAACACAAAACCGTGTATTTCACCAGAGCAGAGCGAGCTGGAGCTGCATTATCAGACTTAGCCTCCAAAAAAACTAAAGCTTTACGCGTCAAGACAAACATAGTAAACACACACACACGCACATAAAACATCTTAAGCCTCGCAGAAAGGCTAAAAACTCTTCCTACTGATGTGAGGAATGACCTCCCTACCTTGTTTCGTGAGGCTAAATCCGTCCCTGCGTGTCGCTGAAAGGTAATAACAATCTGGCGCGGGCTGGAAAAGACACTGAAACTAAATCCCCGCTCGCATCCTCGAGCCTGCGAGCAGCCAGCCAACCCAGTGTGGAGAATCGCGCGGGGACGCGCGGGCTGCCTCGCGCTCGCGCGCACACGCACACACATCCACACAAGAGCGCGCGTTCGCGCTCGCGCACACGCATACGCAAACGCGCACACACACACCATCTCTCTCACCCCGTTGCCCTTAGCAACTAGGGAGCCCACCCACCCCCCACCCTGCTGCAGCCTCAACCATGCAGCTGCCCCCCAGCCCTAAGAGGGGTTACTGTACCGGGGCAGATGGAGGGGGGCGGGGCGGGGGAGGGGGTAACTGGGTATGATTTTGCTCTGGAGTAACAGCCGCTGCCTCCAACGGGTGGAAAACAAGGCGGTGACGTTAGAGCCGCAGCCGCCACGCGCTGTTATTATCACTGCGTAAAGACATGTTATTACTGGTATGTAGAATCTTACACAGAGAAGATAAGATTTTAAAATGGTTATTAATTGTATATATTTTTAGAAAATTTGAAACTAGATTAATTAATAGATATCTAGAAAAATGATACAAATAATGATTAGGATAAGCTATAAGCCATGTTTATTACTGCCTATGAATGATACTGGTCACTAGTAAGTGGTTAGGCTAATGTAACTCACAGTACGTTGCATAAAAAACATATGAAGTATGGTAGCTATAAAAATGTCAACAACAACAATTATAGCAACACGTAATATGTATATAACTATGTAATATAAATATATATACAAATATATATACAAATATATATATATATATATATATATATATATATATATATATATATATATAAACAGTAACTGCTTTAAAATGTGCTACGAATGTGATTTTCACTTAGAAAATCAATAAAATATTAATTTTTACCTGGGATGCCCAAAACATTTAATTATGATTGTACATTAGCCAATATAAAAAAAGCGATAATGAAAACATTTGATAGATAAAAAAAGTAGGCTTGGCTTTTAGCTCTGGCAGTTAGATAGGTGTATGTACATCATGATATTTAATTTTTCTGAGGTTTGATAGGCTGGAACAGAAAAAACACAAGTTGTGCAACATTTCATAAAGCAACTTTCAAAAATCACTGAATTTAATGATTTTATCCAACGTTTTACATACTCTGCTGCCCTGTTACCCATAATGTTGATTACATCATTGTCTCTGTATGAAAACTGATTTGTTAGGGCCACTACTGAGCGGTTAGACAGACAAATACAGGGTATAAGATTGATTTTTTTATAAGATATTCAGAAAATATTTGATACGTACATATACTCAGAAAATCATAGTGATGTAGTTTATCACGATAATGACAACACATCGTCATCTTGCCCACTCCTACACTCGTAAAAAGGATGGTTCTTCAAGGGTTCTATAATAAAGACAGTAGTTCTATAAAGAACCATGAACACTCAAAGAACCTTTTGCATGATTACAAGGTTCTTTGCGTGGTGAAATTGTTCTTCAGTTTGATGGAGAATGTGTTGTATATGGTTCTGTATAGAACCTTTTTGAAAAGGGCTCTATATAGCACCAGAAAGGATTCTTCTAGTTTGACATCGTAACAATAGCAGAACACTTTTTGGTGCTATATAGAACCCTTTTCAAAAACGTTCTATACAGAACCATATGCAACACATTCTCTGTCAATCTGAAGAACGATTTCACCATGCAAAGAACCATTTAAGATTGTAAATGTTTCTCCAAGTGTGCATGGTTCTTTGTAGAACCATTGTCTTTACTAAAGAACCCTTGAAGAACCATCTTCTTTCGGAGTGCACTATAGAGGAATGTGGTAGGGCACATCTCTAGGCTGCACGTAAACACGGTGTCTTTTGTCTCTCTGATTAGTCATGTGCTTTGGGGTCAACCTGAATGAGGAGAAAAGAGAGAAAAATACAGCATTTGAGCAGAGAACTCACAAAAACACTATCGAAGAGCCCGAGGGCAGAAGTAGAGGGGTGAACAGTGGACAGGCAGTCTGGGTTTACGCCAACACACTGTTTGTCTCTGGTTTAATATCGGGCAAAATTTGCCCCCTGGAAAGAATAAAATGTGCGTTTGCACTGGAAATGTATTGTTCCGTGATTCATATTTTATAAGACAGAGTATCCGCACAAAAAACACTATGTGCTCCTTCTTTGAGCTTTCATTTCCTTGTGGAGGATGCCACTGAGCCTGTGGTGCTCATAGCTGCTCTTTGAATCAGCCATGTTGTTTTTTTTTCATGGCAGGAATGACAATGGTAGAGGCCTGTGCTGCTGTCAGGACTTTTATTGTAGCCTACTCATATCATTCATGTCATATGCCATGAAGCTTTATACGATTGTTCAGTCTTAGCGACTGTTCATGTCTATCATGAGTCTAGAGCACAGTCCCCTTTCTTAGACTGAGTTAAATGGAATAAAACCAGTACAGAGGATGGAAAAAGTGCCTGTATACATTATGGCCAAATATATACATTATGGCCATTCGTTCATCTAACTTTTGCATCAAAGTGGACTGTCTCTAGTCTTTGAGCCACCTCGGGCCTTCAGTCAGAGGCCCCTGGGCACTAGCCCCACTGGCCAGGTCAGTAATCCACCCTTGGTCAGAGCATGTTTTTTTTTCCCCCACTCTCTATGATATCTAGACTAGCAAGTCTTTATCTTACCTGTTTTCTACAAATCATACTTAGACGAACAGTATTAATGAATAATATTCATGCCCTACTTAAAAAGCTAGTTAGATAAGAAATCCACCACATTGTAGATATTCTGCTACTTAAATATTTGATCGTAATTAAGTGCAGTCACTTAAAATTATATTTTTCAAAATTGTTGCATAATTAAATGGTTACAATGTAAAGAAAGTCATTTAAAGTGGTTTGATGTGTAATGCTCTATAGAATGCCGGATGTCTGAGACATTGTTTTAGGATAGTTTTGAGACAGGATTTTGGCTTAAAATTCATTTTGTCAGTATTTTAATGGAAGAGAGATACATTCGGGACATTGTAAGGCAATACAGTTTTTTGTAGATTTACCATGATTTTAGCATTATCAACATTACATGAAAACTCAGAAGAAATATGTAGGTTCACTGGATATTAACTTAAATGGCTACATTGAGTTGTAGGCATTGCCACCCCTGGTTCCTATCACCACTGAGTCAGTAAATGTCTTTACAATGAAGCATTTCACATCAAACCACTCTGAATAACGTTGTTTAAATCTTAATGATTTAATGACGCAGTCATTTTGAAAGTTGGTGAAATTCCGCTGTAAGTATTTCCCGCCCCTGGTTAAAACATCATATTGCCCTTCTGCCCATAACCAGCCAAATGAGGTCAAGATGAACGTGCCATCGTTCGTCCTCTACACCAGTGGCTGATCCAATTAGAGCAGGCTATGCATCTCCTTTTCCTGACAATCCTGAGCTCAATGTCATTTGGAAGTCAGTGATATAGGCAGCATGTGAGATGGGCTGATGCTTTTTTTGTATCATCAGCTGCTCGCTCTGATCAGACCACAGACATAGACTGTCATCTTCTCCTCCGTGCTCAAGCATAAGCGGCACAAATTCCCCAGCACAAGCTCAAAGATGGACTCCAGACAAGCTTCACTGCTCGCATTTACAAACCAAGTGCATGGCTGATGTCCTGCGAGCTCAGGGATCCAGTGTGGGCCCAACAGGGAGAAGCCGAGCACTGCTGGTGTTGTGAATGACCCAGACTGTGTGTGTGTGTGTGTATGTGTGTCTTCCTAATGCCTGGTGACAGCCGATGTGTGTGTGTGTTGGCGAAGGAGGGGTGACGTGTGGAAGGTGGGGGTGGGGTGCAGCCCCTGTGACAGGCTCAGCTGAAGGCTGTGTGTGTCAAGCTCACGGCTACAAGCCTGTCATGTCCATTTCCTGCGCACCCATCCGCCATGCAGGGGTTTTATTTTGACCACCACGTGCCTCAGCATGCAGCTGTAAACACCAAGCTACGGACGAAGCACATCAGCCCCCATCAGCAGCACAGAGAGCGAGTTTGTTAGGACATACAGGGCTAAGGTGGCTCCTCAGTGGCAACTACCTTCTGTTTTGCCCTGAGCATGCAACTGAGCACGTACACTAATTGATAAGGGAACGGGACACACCACTTAAAGGAATGGTTAACTGAAAAATCTGATTTACAGAATTTTCCCCTTATCTCAAACATAGCTGATCAGCCAAGACATGTTTGGAGTCCAAAGTTTGCTTCTGTAGTTCTTGCACTGGAGCTGTGAGGCTAATATGGCTAACAAGTAATTAAAGTCTATGTCACCCAAAATGTTTGTGAAACAGGAGTTTTAAAAAACTATTAAAAGCTAAAGAGAAAAAGGGACTTTTAACAACCCTGTAAGATGACCAAAACTGTCACCATCAGATAAACAGTACTTAAAGCGTTTATCGTTGAGAGAGAGGATAAAATCAAGCTCCAGTTTTGCTTCAGATCTGAAAACATCCACAAGTGTTTCTGTCCATCCACTGTGAGACGACAAATCAGTGCTATGAGTCTGAAGAGTTTGTAGCTGTCAAGAACCTGTACACAATAAAGAGAAAATCTGCAAATTAAACAAAGAAGCTGCTGGAGTTCTCAGAAGAATGGACTGACCACTCCAGAGTCCAGACCTCAAAATCACAGAATGTGCTTATGATTACCCAAAGCAGAACATGCAACTGACTTCTAAGACTGAACTTTGGATGTGTGAAAAAATCCCTCCTGCAGATTTCTTAGAAAACCAGACAGCAAGATTCAGTAAAAGAATTGAAGCTGTAAGAAAGTCAAAGGGTGGACACACTAAACAATTAAACAATATATATATATATACATATATATATATACACACACACACACACACACACACACACACATACATATATATATATATATATATATATATATATATATATATATATATATATATAGTTGTTGAGGCTTCTATGTTATTTTCTGTTAAATATGTTTTCTACTTTTTTCTTTACACTAGAAAATAATTAACTTTTACTTAAAGGCCGTTTTTACAGGATAGAAAAAAACGACCTTCA